AAAAATGAGCAAGAGATTAATATATATATATATATATATAATTCAATGTAATGCAAGCCTATTCTTTGTCTCAAAAGAATCAGATTGGCCAAGCCAATGATAGCAAATTTATCAACTAATCAATCATGCTAACTAGCGTGATTTAGTGGTGCATTTAAAAAACTTTTCGAATCAATAAATCATACTATTTGACTTTTACGATAGAATTATAAAAAGAATGAAACTATTAATGATAATTATATAACGGACTATATATAGAGGAGACGCACATCAAACAATTAATATATATATATAAGGTTAACTGCAAAATATTCTCTCATAATATGTAAAATGTGCAATAACTTCCTTATTATTTGAAAAATTCCTTTCAATTTGTGTAAATAAAGACAAATAATAATTTTAGTAGTAAAATTATTAAATTAACCTTACTTTATCATTAGAGAAAAAAAAAAAAAAAAAAAAAAGGCAAAAGACGAAATATCAAAATTATAACATAACCGATCAGTGAATCAACTAGGAAAATATAAAAAGAGTTAATGGTAAACTAAAAAAATTTGGCTCGCCTGATGTTAAAGTCTTATTTATTATAAAGAACGGGATATGATAAAAAATATTGACAATAATAAAATAAAATAAACAATTTATATAAAAGTGTGTTGCTTGAGTTTGTGTACAGTCGAAAAGTAACTAGATCAAAATTTTAATTTGATAGAAATCATAAATTCATCTAATAACAATTTGTGTCAAAGCAAGTTCATTAATTTAATAATAATTATTATTATATAAATATATGATTAAGGGAGGCTCATTCATTTACAAGAAAATATACACAAATCCTTTAGAGATGAGATAATATTGGCAGCCCCAGAAAAATTCTAGAGAGAATAAAAAATAAAAAGATAGATAATATCGGCCAACACAAAAAAAATATTTTGGAGAGAAAAAACAATTAGAGGAGAATATCAAGATATTTTAGAGAGAGAATATTTTTCTTTTTCTTTTTTTGAGAAGTGCTAAACACAATCGCTACCTTACTCTTTTCTCTCTCTTTTTTTCAGTTGTTTTTAATTTTATATATATATATATATATATATACTCACCATGTGAAGAGGTTTCTCTTTGTATCTCCCTCTTCTTTAGATAAAGAAAGAGGAAAAAAAAATTATTTATTTATTATTTTTTTTCAATTCTTTAATTTTCTATATATATAGTAGATTGGAAACCATATTTCTCTTATTTTAGACATTAATTACAATTTATTTTTTAAGCAATAAGAGTTGAATCTTTGATTCTTTCTTGAATATCACGAATGTGAATGCAGAGTCACTTGTGCGACTGTGAATAACACTTCTCTGTTTTTTTTTTTTTTAGAGAGATAGACTATGACGACACACAGAAACTCAAAAGTGTTTTCCTTGGACAAGTCTTGAGGCACATTGCAAATCCATTGAGTGTTGAAATATATACAAAATTAGCGGGACATTATTGTCACACAAAAAAAGCATTTTTGAATTTTTTTTTTTTTAAAACATAACGTCACCAACTGCTTTTTTTTCAATGAATTCATTTAATAGGGGGTAAATTGTTCAAAAGATTAATAATATAAGGAATTATATGCAATTTTTTTTTTTTTTCTTTTTCTAATAGGCGCTGTTTCTTACACCATTTTTTTATATAGCAGGATTTTTTTGCACTTATCCATATACAAATGTTAGATTTTGATTTTTTATTTAATTAACATGAATATATATATATATATATAAATAAGAAATTTCAAAACCGTAAAATCTAACTGATTATATAGGGTTTAATTCTTGTATAATTTTAATGGTTGGATTTAATTCTAATATTAGTTGAAACTTATTTGATTCTAATTCATTTAGAATTCAACCGAATTGGACTGTGTAAATTTACTAGTATATTTTTGAAACCAAAATCAGACCATGAAATTTACTTGAACAAAAGTTGACTATTTAAACAGACTCTCGCGTGCACCAACTGAAAACAAATAAACCCTATATAATCACATAGGGTTTATTTGTCCATTTCACATCACCACCAAGTCCCAGTACAGTAAACAAATATTAATAAAATAAAGTAAATAAAATAGCATTCTGCAACTAGTACACACTTTTATACTACTCCCTGCTCTCTCTCTCCTCTCTCCCCCACTTTCTCTCTCTACAATGGCTTCTTTCTTAAGAGACAGAACCCTCGGCCAATCCAAGAGAGAGAGAGCATGCCACAACCACACCCAAATAAAAACTATTTTTTTTTTTTTAATACACTACCACAACCACACCCAAATACCACAACCACACTAGAATTTTTTTTTAAAAATAGCCATGGCCAACCCACTCTTTTACATCCTAAATGTCACCAGAACCACCATCACCACATCGAGACACCACCACCGCCACCATAATAGAAAAAATAAAATTTGTGAAACAGCCTGATAACTTAAACATCACCATAACCACCACAACTAAACCTAGAGACGACACCACCAGAGTTGCCATGGGCAGCCAAACCCACCACAACAGGGAAAAAAAAATCATGTCCAACCCAGATACCACCATCACCAACAGGCACCGCCACAATAGAACGGAAAAAATAATAAGAAAAACAACAATAGCTGTTTTTATCTCACCATTCCCACCAACTATCTTCTCCCCACTTTGCACGCCCACTTTCCTTCCCTTACTCGTCTCAATCACTAACCCTACACCGCCACAACCACCATATGAATGAATTGAGTGACTAAAAGATATAAGTCAGACATCCATATATTAAGTGTAACATCCATATATTAGTGAGACAATTAGATAAAATAAACTTAGATGCATGGTTTGGATGCATGAACGTCAGAGACTACAAAAGTGTCGATTAGATAAAGAAAACTAGTTGTAAAAAAGGGTAAGAAACCGAGAGGGCGGCCCAAAATAATATAGTTAGAAGTTAGTTAAATATACTTAGTGAAATGTCATGTAATAAAAATAAAAAGTTTGTAGAGAAAAAATTTATATCATTGATCTCATTCATATGGGAATAACGTACGAATGACCGGTGTTATTTAATAACTTAATTCAATGCTTAATTTTGAACATTAATTAATCCAATTAAATGTGTATGATAACACAATTTGAATATCACTGAAAATAATAAACACCACTTAAAATGCAGTAAAAATTTAAATGACAAGGACATCATTTATCGTTGAATGCTTAAATTTAAAATATATATATATATATATATATATCAAAAAAATATTTATTTGTAAATAAGACTTAAAAACTTTAACAATTAAAATTTACAGTCCTTAATTTTTAGTTTTATCAAATACATTAGGTTAGTGACTATTAAGCATATGTTGAAACAATCAAAACCTCTGAGACTAAATGAGGAAAACATCTCTCTAAACTCCTAAAAATGAAAATGAATATATTGTATTCAGTAGAAATTATGCAGTTTTTTTTTATTCTGAGCTTAAACAGGATCACATGATATTATTTTATTTTATTTCAATTTTTTGAGGGCACTAATTGCTTCGGTATGCAAATGCAAAGTATACGCTACAATTTCTTTTCAGTGGATTGATGTCATCTTTGTTGGCATGTCTTGGAATGCTCTTGACACTTCGTATAATTGTAATATTGATCTTTCTCTATTAAACTGATCATCTTTCTCTCTTTTTTGTTTTTTTCCCTTTTTTCTTTTTTGGTCTTTTTATTCTCTTTTACTTCCTAACAAAAGGGAAAGAAAAGAAAAAAACATTTCCATCCATTTCACATTATTCTCTCAATCCGAACACATAATACACATTCTCAACAAAAAGTTACATCTCTATCCCAAAATCCGAGTCTTCTGACTCTAATTTTATTTTTCAGTGATAACTAATATCACTTTTTTCAAAAGCAATTACTTAAAAGATAACCAAAATTTTCAAATTTTTTATATTTAGTTGAGACTATGAAACAGCCTTAGCCTAAAATATAAAATAAAATATGTAATTTTATTACTTAAATATTTTGCTAGACTATGAAACAGTATTTGAATTTATTTTGTTTTGTATAATTTTTTTGCTTAAATATATGTAACTTTTCCATTCAATTTGTATGAAAATACTGTAAATTCATCAAAAGAAAATTAATAAAAATATTATTAATCAATATTAAGTTCTTATATTTATTATTTTAGATATCAGTTTTGGAAATACATATAGAAATCAGCACGCTCACACCTTATTGATAACGAAATCAGCCCCTCACAGAGAAAAACTTATTCGTGTATTACATGCACCGACACATGTATTATATACATGAACGGCTCAAATGTGCTCGTTACACTGTAAAAGGGGACAAGAAAGTTTTTCTCCCTCCGTGAGCCAAAGATCAAAGTTCAGTTTAGTAAGAGTCGCATGTAGCCGAAGTTAGGTTTGGTAAGAGTCTGCCACCTATACCATACATGTAAACTAATAGACACTCACGTCACTATATATGTAAAAAAAAAAAAAAAAAAAAAAATGATTTAAAAAGTGAAGCAAACGACAGACTGAAAACAGGTTCTACCTAAAAAAACAGGTTCTACCCTTTTTCGATGCATATGCACTGTTGTGTTGTGGGACATGTGATAACATTGTGTCAAACAGAAAATTGTTTTGGCTTGTAGCTAGTCTGGGCTGCTTATTTTGACTCAAATTAATAGAACTGTCCAAAACTAAAATGAAGTAAAATAAATATAACCCTAATTTATTTATAAGCTAGATGTCTTCTAGTGCATGTATAGGAATATTCCACCAATCAAGATTAGTCGAATATTTCAAGATAAGTTCAATATTGTCATGTATGCATATAGTTCATAGGTCCTAGCTAGCTAACAATAAATATATCAATTTATTAATCCTTAAGTACTCCAATATGTCCCTAAGTTCTTAGTTTCAAACTCAATAGTCTTTTGTACACATCTTAATTTGCAGCTAGCTAGACACCATCTAGTCTTCCATGGCTTCCCTAGCTTTTCCGGCATCCGAAAACTATGTTTTGCAGTCATGTATGTCAGTTTCTCCCAACTCCGATCATGCCAGAGACGGTTCTATATTTGGGAAGTCAGTTTCGTCTAAGAAACGGAACACCAGAGACTTAACGATCACAAATGTTACAAGCAAAATGCCTAAAGCTTTCCCTCCAACTATAAAAGAGATGACAGATGACCGGAAGCTAGCCGCTTGGACAAGCATCCGACAGGAGCAATGGGAAGGAGAGCTCGTCGTTGAAGGCAAAATTCCACCATGGCTGGTATGTAAAACTACAAAATCAGTGTCACAATATATGTATGTGCAGTGTGCACGTAACTTATTAGAATTGTGATACAGTGTCCGAAGTAAAAACAAATGGCAATTTATTTATGTGAGCAGGGTTATACTGACATCTATCTCCACTTACATAAAATAGTCTCATTTTTTAACTTATTATAACAAAAACAATAACAAGAGTTAACCTTACTGTGTAGATTAAAAAATTATTTTGAAATATGTAAAAAATCAAATGAACCGTTAAATTAATAGAGAGAGTTTATAACTATGTTCATCCGAGAGCTTTTGTAATGACATTTTCTTTAATAAATTTTCACTTACTGAATGCAGAGTGGGACTTACATAAGGAATGGCCCAGGCTTGTGGCACCTAGGAGACTACCACTTCCGGCACCTATTTGACGGCTTCGCCACCCTCGTCCGCCTTCATTTTGACAATGGCCGGCTCATAATGGGTCACCGGCAAATCGAATCTGAGGCCTATAAGGCTGCGAAGAAGAAGAATAAGCTTTGTTACTTGGAATTTTCTGAAGCCCCAAAGCCCGATAATTTCCTAGCTTACATAGTTGAAAAGGCTAAACTATTTCTTGGTGCATCATTGACGGATAACGCTAACACCGGTGTGGTTAAATTAGCTGACGGACGGGTTGTTTGCCTGACGGAGTCAATCAAAGGGTCGATGGTGATTGATCCGGACACATTGAACACAATAGGGAAGTTTGAGTATAGTGACTCATTGGGTGGTCTACTTCACTCGGCTCATCCAATTGTGACGGATACAGAGTTCCTGACTTTGTTGCCGGATCTGGTGAATCCAGGGTACATGGTGGTGAGGATGGAACCGGGGACGAATGAGAGGAAGGTGATCGGGAGGGTGAGTTGCCGCGGCGGACCATCACCGGGTTGGGTTCACTCGTTTCCGGTGACCGAACATTATGTGGTTGTACCGGAGATGCCATTGAGGTACTGTGCCCAAAATCTCCTAAGAGCTGAGCCCACGCCACTATACATGTTCAAATGGCACCCCGAGTCCAAAGGGTTTATGCATATTATGTGTAAAGCTAGTGGCAAGATTGTGAGTCCTCTCTCTCTCTCTCTCTCTCTCTTTTTAGGTAAAAACATAACCATATGTGGTTGGAACCCTAGCCTCTTCTTTAGAAACGAGAGATTATATCATATCGGTCAAGAATTTGAATTCTCTACAATACAGATAGGGTGGACATCACTTCAAAAAGTAGATTCAGGAAGGTGATCGCTACCCTACACTGTTGCATTGAATTAATTACCAAATAAAAAAAACATTTGAATTTATGATATATGTGGATTGTTTGGATAGTGATATAAAGATTAAATACTAATATTTATTAATTTTTTGTTATTGGTTAAATGTCAAAGGTGGCTAGTGTGGAGGTTCCATTATTCGTGACCTTTCACTTTATCAATGCATACGAAGAGAAGGACGAGGATGGGAGGGTGACTGCAGTTATTGCCGACTGTTGCGAGCATAACGCCGACACAACAATTTTAGACAAGCTCAGATTGCAACACCTCCGATCATTTACCGGCAAAGACGTCTTGCCAAAAGCTAGGTATATATATATATATATACTTGAATATTTCTATAATTTTATATGTCTGAACAAATCTATGCACACACAATTTTATAAATTTATTTTTGTTCTTGTAATGCCATATATATTAGTGCAGGCTGCACACTCTTTGGTAATTTTGTCGGATATAGTTTGGCACCCAAATTCCGAATCTAAGACAGGGTTGACGCCTAACGGGCAACGGGCCTACCAGTTCTGTCTCACTTTCATTGCTCCGGTTGTATATAATTAGGGACTCTATATGAAAAGATATATAATCTATAATAATTCTTTCAAGTGAACCGTTATTTCGTTACAGGGATGGATCAGGATATTGAGTGAGGGAGGTAAAAGTAAAAAAAAAATATTTATAATTTCAGGTAAAATTTCAAAAACTGAAAATAAGAAAAATTACAACTACTTAATGCTAAAAAAATATAAATCAATGGGCCTATTTCGTTGTATACAAGGCAGAGATCAACTCAGTATATATTATATTCTATTTGTTGTTTGGTTGATCTCGCTCCTCTCCAGCAGAATTAGGGTCACTGAACGTTATTTTAACTCCTTCACATATCAAATGTAAATATACATATTGGTGGAGCACAAAATTAACAGTATACGTGACGTGATAACTTATGCATGCATGGACATTTGAGTATGGGCTAGAATATAAATATTGAATATAAATACAATATTTATATCTATCTTTTTAACCCAAGGGATTGGCCCAGTGATAAAATCACTTGGTCTTGAGTGCTTGTTAGCACTAAGGTCTCAAACTTTTCTGGTCCTCGAGATTAGTCGGGCCCGATATCTAGGTTATCTACAAAACTAATAATAATAATAATAATAAATATATTTATATATATTTTATTATACTAATGGAGATGTGGATATATATATATATATATAACAGGGTGGGCCGTTTCATAATACCATTGGATGGAAGTCCATATGGGAAGTTAAACGATGCATTGGAGGCAGATGAACATGGGAAGGGCATGGACATGTGCAGCATCAACCCAGCCTATTTGGGCAAGAAATACAGATATGCTTACGCTTGTGGTGCCCAACGCCCTTGTAACTTCCCCAACACCCTCACTAAGGTACGTACCAATATATAACTACACCAATATAACAATAAACCATTCCTTATATATATATATATATAATAGTTTTGTATATATAAATTTGTTGGCATAATGGCATATGATGATTAATTGCTTGGTGTCAACCAAGTTTTTTAAATTTTTTTGGGTGATTAATGTGGATTGAAAATTTTAATTCTTTTTAATTGCAGCTTGACTTAGTAGAGAGAAAGGCAAAGAACTGGTACGACGAGGGTGCTGTGCCCTCTGAACCATTCTTTGTTGGTCGACCTGGTGCAACTGAGGAAGATGATGGTAAGTTATTCGATATCATATCCCTCCGAATTCCATTTGCTTTCATTTTAAAATAAATAAATAAATAAATAAAAGAGTACTCGTTAGTGAGTACGATGTACATTGATGAAAATTTAAGCATTGTTCAGTCAAATTTAAAAGTTGGGAACAAATGAATCCATTAGTAATATGAATTATTTGTTCTTAATATCAATTATGAATTGATTGATGCGTTAATATGACCCAAAATAATCACATCTTGATGTGAAATTGCTCTGTCATATATTTTTCGATTTGCTAGGGGTAAAATCTTAATAGAAGCATATATAGTAGATGTAAGTGGACATAATCAACTGGGCCATGGGCCTTATTTTCTTCAAATCTACTAAATTATGGCCCTCATGTTGGGCCCATTCACTCGTTTGGCAACACCTTTCCTGAAAATCCCTGGAATTCACTTCTTTTTATTGTTATTGTACTTTGGGAAATGTTTATTCTTCTATTTAAACTATGGTAGACAATATTCCTCTTAATTCCACACACAAACACACACACACACACACACAAGCACTTTCTGTTGACGCTAAAATCAGCTCTTTAGATTTGATTCGGAATTGATGTGAATATGTGATTCCGCGTGTCAGAACCAATTATATGGTTCAAGTTTAAATAGTCAATTGTAGTCTCTTTGGGAAGATTGACTTTCAGACGAGAACAGTAAAACTCCTCTTTGAGTTCAAGAATTGCCTTAAGTAAAAGTACTTTAACAATGAATAATTTATAGTAACGTTTTGAGAATAGAAAGGGGAGAGAAATAAATATAGAAAGAAATAGAGAGAGAGAGAGAGAGATTGAGAAAAGGAGAGATAGAACGTGATATTGAGAGAGATAGAGAGAAATAGCAAGGATGTTATTTTGGGAAAGAGTTTGAGAAAGCAAACACAATAATAAAATGATTCTGAGGGTGCTGGACCTCGATCTCAGCATGCCTCCTTAATTATTTATAAAAAAAGAAATCTTGTATTCTGATTGTATTATAACTTTATAATATAACTGAATATTTATTCAAATTGAACTATCCTAGATAAATCCCGGTATTAATATCAAATACACTATAAATATTACACATAAATCCTATCCATCGTCTCATTGTTTAAAAATACTCTATCCGATTAGCGCCCTTGCATGTTGCTGTAACTTTGCAACATCTGCAACGTCATTGCTCCCATCACTGTAATCCATCACTTTCAGCCCAACTTGATAACTAATCTAGACTAAATTTGGCCCAAATACCATTCAAGGCCCAAACACAATCCACAGCCCAAATACCAAAATGGGTGTCAAACACTTTCACAATGCCTTTTCATTTTATTTTTTTGTAATAAGGAGTGTAGTGTAGTGTGCCGTTTTTTCAAAATCTTAATTAACATGCATAAATTTGTGATAACAGGAGTAGTAATATCGATGATCAGTGACAAAAATGGCGGAGGATATGCATTATTATTAGACGCATCCAGGTTCGAAGAGATCGCAAGAGCAAAATTTCCTTATGGTCTTCCATATGGACTCCATGGATGTTGGGTTCCGAAGAATTAGATTCAAAAATCAAGGAAAATGATTGAATCAAGCTTTCTTGATCACAAAGCACAATTGGTGCCTCTACATTGCATGGCACGTAGGTCATTATATAGTATTTTCGATGTCCGGTTAGAGCCTCAGGCGGTCGCCTAATGCCCCTAAAATTATTATTTTCTTAATATTATTAGATTTCAACAATTACTAGTCATCTTTGGTCCTTTTATCTTCCCCCTCTCTATCTACTAAATTCACTTCAACAAATAAACAATCAAGTCATGTAACATAATTAGAAAATTAAGGTAGAAGAAAAAAAACAATTAAGTGACTTGGCCTTGCTATCAAAGAGTTCTATTTAAATAGGTCAATTTATATCTTTCGCCAGGTCTTAAATTATATAGAGTCACTCATGTTCGATATATATATATGGTAGTATAATTTAATGAATTAGTGTATGTTTGAAGTGATTACTAGTATGTGTTTGGGTCATCAACATTCTAATGAATGCTCATGGTTCTGGAGGAAATTATCAAAGACAGAAAGATGTCTCAATCTTTGGTCAAGCATACAACAATCAACAATGGAACAGCCACTATGGCTTCTATGACAACTGGTTAGCATGTGGAACACTATACCCGGTATTGAATTCTAATCCTACCCTTAACAACATTTCCGGTGATGTAGGACAATTTTACGTGTTTCAAAATTCTTTAGTTTTAGGTTTTTTATTTATTTTATTTTTATATTTTTTATAAGAAGTTTAGTTTTAATTAATTTCTTTTAGGAATTATTTTCCTTTTGTTAGTAAATTTCTTTATGATTAATCCTTCTATAACTAGGATTTCTTTAGTTATAAATATATGTGTTACGGTATAAATTCAATTATTCATTTAATTATCAATACAAATATGATATATAAGATTTCTTTAAAATTATTTTTCACTTTGTAAATTTAAAACACTCTATTTATGGCTTCTACGTGTGCCGACATGGGGACGAAAAAAAGAAAGAGAGGGATGGGGTTTCTCTCGCTTCTGACATAGAGGGCACATTTAAATTCAATATAAGTCTCCCAAATGCAAATAATGAAAAAAACTAGAGGGGGGGTCAAACTTCTTGAATGAAAAAAAATGAATAAAATAATTGAAATTTTAAAAGATTTCTATAATGCCTTCTCCTATTCCTTCTGTGTCGCAGGGTTGAAACCAAAACATATTTGTTGCTTACGTCAACCGAGAAGCACCTTCCATCCGCATAGCTTCTCTGTGTTTGTCCAGATGAAGCTGGTGACTATTAGCATAGGTTGAAACAATTAAAACCTCTGGAATAAATGAGAAAAACATCTCTCTAAGCTACTAATATATATATATATATATATATATATATAATCAACAGAAATTATAGAATTTTGTTTTATTTGGAGCTTGAGACAGGATCACATGATACTAAACTTTCTGTGTTCCCCACTTGCAAAATGAATCAAATGATGATTACTCTCTCTCTCTCTCTCTCTCTCTGCATTTTTCTTTTTCTTTTTCTTTTTAGTCTATCCGTGAAAAACATTTCCGTCCTTTCCACATTATTCTCGCAATCCAAACACATTTATATTTAGCATTCACAGTAAAAAAAACGATATCTCTAGCCTAAAAAAATCTAATTTTATTTTCAAAAAAATTAGCAAAAGCACTTACTAAAAATATACCCATATTTTTCTTAAATTTATTATTATTATTTTTAAAAAATTTATCTTTTAAAAAATATTATATTCCTATCCCAAAATCCAGACTACTTATGTGGCACAGTGCTATTGGTCACAAAACATTGAGGTAATCCATATAAAATATAGACATACAAGTCAAGACATGTACATGGAAGGTCGATCCATTTGTTTGTTGCGGCCATACAATCAAATCATATGACCTTAACCGTTTCTGATCAGGATTTATGAATTCAAGAATGTCCAAGAACAGTAGAGACTATATTATAATAGTAAATAATAAATTAATGGACCTAATCTTTTAATATACAAATATGAACATGCCAAGATTTTCTGCCACTGTCACTCCTCTGATTTTTAAGTCATACTTCCCTTTCAATTCTTTGAAATCTCTCTCTCTCTCTCCCTCTCCCTCTCTCGTCTCTCTCTCTCTATATATACACACACACACAAGGTAATAATATCTATAAATACATACTATATTCGAGGTCCCCACAATTGAAGGACAAACCATACACATCCAACCTATCTCCTTCCTGTTCCAGCTTTCCTCCCTACCATCTCTTTAAAAACCAGAAAAGGGTTGGTGTGTAATCTCACGCTCCTTCAGTTATATATATATTTCAGGTGTTTTCGGTGACACTTCCCAATTCCCATGACAAAAACCTTTGGAATGTGGGATGTGAATTTAAGAGAAAAAAATGGGGGACATGACTTTAGTAAAGTTCTTTGAGATAGGGTTTAGATTGAAAGAATTAAAAGAAAACAAAAGAAGAATAATTTTTTAAAAAACTAATGGAAAGGAAAAGGGGATTAAATTTACTTCCCTCCTTAACTTTAAGAGGCCGGAGCTTCCTCTTTACATATGAGATGAGTGATATGATTACCAACAGTGATACACATCATGAAATAAATTTTTAGATTAATTTGCATCATGAATGATATTACGATAACATTTTTATAATTTTTTCTGTTAAACTTCATTCCGGTCAACTCTTGTAGGGTTCATCACATCACTTTCTCTCTTCCATCCAATATACCTATTTTATTTTCCCTAAATCATTCTGTTTTTTTTTTCTCTTCCAAAATCTTTGGACTTAAATCTCTCTCTCACAAATTATCAAACATAAACCCTAATTTAATCAACAAAGCATCCTTCATTACTAACGAAAATTATGAATAAATGTTGGAGAGTTTTAATTTTTTTATTAATCATGGCATTACTCCATTGTCTATAGTTGGACACTTAATCAACCTGATCTTTATTTATATACACACACACTTACACAACCTGATTTCAATATAACACAAACATGATCTTAAAAGTTGTGAATCAATTAAAGCCTATATTTATCAATTTTTGTATCTCTACAAGCGTTCTAAACATGCACTTAATCAACCTGATCTTTATTTGTACACATACACATACACAACCTGATTTCACTATAACACAAACATGATCTTAAAAGTTATTAATCACTTAAAGCCGATATATATTTATCAATTTTTGTATCTCTACAAGTGTTCTTTAGTTTCTCTCTTACTCTCATTTTTATCTCCTAAATATTTAGATTAAATCGGACATGCCACATCATTCATGATACTTTATTTTGAAAATCATTCACGATGTATTTCTCTTGTACTATACTAATAAATTTAGTATTTTACTAACTTGACCTATCTAAAAATATAAGTTATTTTTTTCTTCTTTTTAAATTTTAATAGTGTCATAAAAGTATATGTGATCCAATGACATCCTAACACATCCGTGGTAAAAAGAAAGTTCCTCCCCATAGGTAAGAAAACAAGTATTATTCTTTACTTTTTCTCTCCAACAAAAGCTTTCTATCCTCTAAGTGTTAAGTTAGATTAGTAGATGAAGAGAATTGACACTTTAAAATTGACCGAAAACACTAACCCATTAGACTATTGAGATATCTGCCAATAAAAAGATTGTCGTGCATTGAATTTTGAATTACAAATTATGGCTTTGATTTTGATTCTACATTTATTAGGTTTTTGATTTACAAATTATGGAGTATATATTAAGTGTGTAATGAATATTAATTGTGTGGTTAGAAAGTGTAAGAGGAAAAGGTAAATGGAAACGCAAAAAAAGAGGAGTTGTTACTAATATTTTCACCAAATAATCTAGTCGGCATTTAATGTTTCCTTATTCTGAGTATTAATTGTTAAAAATTAATTTGAACACCTAATAAGTACTACAATTTGGTCGATCATGCAAAGGTTTTTTTTCCCTTTTTTATTATCATTAATTTTATCTTCCGACTTTTATATGAATTCTTTTGGCTAAATCAAACTCTTCTCTAGCCAAATTGAATTCTTCAAAATTAAATGTAGGTCTAATCAATCGTCTAACACAAAGTATCAAATTTAGTTAATTTTATTCTTGGAAGACCGACATTGAAATTCGGCACCTCTCGTAATCATTAACTCTTAATATTCTTGTCATGAAATATATACATATACACCATTACGGACGCATTACGGAATATCAACTCATTAGCTGAACAATTATCAATAATTCAGTGGGACAAATATTGGTTTACCAGTCTCATAGTGTGTGTGAGAGAGAAGAGAGCAATATATATGATATTGACCTGTCACCAGTAGTATTTGACATTGACACGCTAACTAACAGTGAGATAAGACGGCACATTGCCGACCCATTAGATCGGATGCTAAGTACCATTTTTTTGGGTTTTTTTTCTTTTTTCTTTAAACAGTAGTGTAGGATATTTTAGAACATTCTATTATTTTCTTTACTTTTTTTCGTTTGATTGTTAATGTAAACACGTTATGAAATATTCATATGAAAAAGATTGTATATTTTCTGATTGAATTAAAAAAATAATAATAATAAAAGGAGAATAAATTTAAAATTTTTATATTTGTTAAAAGAGAAGGAAAAAGTAAGTTTTAATTACTTTTATTATTATGTCTCATAATATTGTAATTTACAGAGATAGTCTTGTACTTTAAAACTTGCATAATTTAAGATAGTATTTAATTTAAATTTTTATAACAATTTATTTGTCTTTCTTATTTTCTTTCACTTATTTTTGGACGGATAAAAATTTGTAAATAATGAATGATGAGTGTATAACCTTCTTATTTTTCTTTTTCTTCCGAACAAGTAAATTTGCTCTTTCTTTTCAATTTTCTCTCCACACATATTCTTTCTTTTCTACAGAACACAATAGAATCTCACGCTCAACCTTTTATTTAAAAAATAAAATAAAACAAAATACCACATTAATTAAACACTTTGGAGTGAGAATATGAGTTTTCATGATGCATTATTCAATTAGAATTCATTGAGTTTTTATTTTTATTTTGTGAAGTCAACTATATTAATGAAGTTTCTCCGAAAGCATAGCATCATATCATTCAAAAAATAATCTCACATTTCTCGTAAATGGGATGTGATATATATTCATTACACTTATGCATTTTTGTAATCCATACTTAGCTTTTTAACAAAGAAAAAGTATAGTCCACAAAAAACCAATCAAACTATTTATTAGCATTTTGTAGTTAATAACTTTGTATTGCATATATAAATAAATCCACGGTGTCATCATTACTAGGAATTAAAAATTGCTAATTTGTCCAATCTTGTTTCAAAATTTTATAAAAGAGTAAAGTATAAATAAATAAATAAATAAAACCTCTCATAAACTGTCTCAATGAGGACAAATTACACTAAGCTCCCCTAAGGTATACTTTAATTACATGGACATCCCTTGTAATTTTTAAAATTATTCTGACCTCCCACAAAAACAAATCTTTTTACACGGATCTTCCCTACCAAGGATGAATCATCAAATGGACTAACAGAATTACATAGTATGCAAGAAAGAGGAAATAGCACTAGGCTTCATGCCCTTTGTTCTAATGTGACAGTTTAATAACAAATTTCTTAAATTGCATCTTAGAGGTTGGGGATTGAATTTTCTTTATGCTACAACCACCGAATTTTCTAATAATTTCTTAGTGCATGTGAGCTCGACACCATCATCGACAAGAAAAAAAAAATATTTTGCACTTTAGTTTTGTAATTTTACATTCTATTCTTTTCTATTTTTGGAAAAAAATGATATATTAGTCTGTTACATACTATAATTTTGAAGAACATAAATTGTTTACACCTGATAGGATTCGATCGTGAGACATGATACTTCATGAGACATAAGGGCCCAAATATTTTCTAACTAAGCCAACACTTCCTGAGACACAAGAGCTCAAATATTTTCCAACTAAACCAACCCCTTTTAGGGTTAACTACAACAAAATTAATCTTTAACAATTCTATAAAAATTTGAAACAAACTTACAAAACGTAAACTGAACGAATTCGAACCATGTAAAAGTTGTTTGAATCAACTATTGTTTTATTAAGCTTACATAATCTAACAAAAACTAATATTATAGCCTTTATTGTTGGAATAAAAAATAAAAATAAAATCCGTAAACTGAACGAATTCGAACCATGTAAAAGTTGTTTGAATCAACTATTGTTTTATTAAGCTTACATAATCTAACAAAAACTAATATTATAGCCTTTATGGGGTTATTGTTGGAATAAAAAATAAAAATAAAAAATTGATTTTATTAGTAGAGTTGTCAAAAATTTGTGGTCGATAAAAAGCATGTTAGATGTTTGATGATACATTATAATAAGTATTTTTTGTAATATAATTATTTTTAAATTTATTTGGTAACAATATTTTTTAATAGGATGTTACCATATTTGGTAGTAACAACTTTATTAAAAAAAAAAAAAAGTGTAATTGTTTTAAAAAAAAAAAAAAAAACAAATTTGTCTATGAAAAAAATTACTTAAAATATTGAATCCCTATTTACGTTTTTTTGAGTAAAATATTAAATCCCTATTCAACACAAATTTTAAAAATAAAAAGGTATTTAAGCCGTTGAAAAACAATCCCGTACTCTTAGTCTAAATTAAGCATTATTGAACCATTTATTGTGCTACTAAAATCTTCTAGCGACATGACAATATTATATTATGCCAATGGTGAGGGTCCATATAGCATATATCCACAATTAGGTTAAAAAAAATGAGCAAGAGATTAATATATATATATAATTCAATGTAATGCAAGCCTATTCTTTGTCTCAAAAGAATAAGATTGGCCGAGCCAATGATAACAAATTTATCAACTAATCAATCATGCTAACTTGCCTGATTTAGGGGTGCACTTAAAAAACTTTTCGAATCAATAAATCATACTATTTGACTTTTACGATAGAATTATAAAAGAATGAAATACCCAACCTAACTATTAATGATAATTATATAACGGAGTATATATAGAGAGAGACGCACACCAAACATTTAATATATATATATAAATGGTTAACTGTAAAAAATTCTCTCATAATATGCAAAATGTATAATTACTTCCTTATTATTTGAAAATTTCCTTTTAATTTGTGTAAATAAAGACAAATAATAATTTTAGTGGTAAAATTATTAAATTAACCTTGAGAAAAGGGGCAAAAGACAATATCAAAATTAAAACATAACCGATCAGTGAATCAACTAGGAAAATATAAAAAGAGTTAATGGTAAACTAAAAAAATTTGGCTCGCGTGATGTTAAAGTCTTGTTTATTATAAAGAACATGATATGATAAAAATATTGACATTAATAAAATAAAATAAACAATTTATATAAAAATGTGTTAATTGAGTTTGTGTCCAGTCAAAGAGTAACTAGATCAAAATTTTAATTTTGATAGAAATCTTAAATTCATCTAATAACAATTTGTATCAAAGCAAGTTCATTAATTTAATAATAATTATTATTATATAAATATATAATTAAGGGAGGCTCATTCAATTACAAGAAAATATACATCAATCATTTAGAGATGAGATAATATTGGCAGCTCGAGAAAAATTCTAGAGAGAATAAAAAATAAAAAAAATTGATAATATTGGCCAACACGAAAAGGTATTTTGGAGAGAGAAAACAATTAGAGAGAGAATATTGTGGCGAGATATTTTAGAGAGAGAATATATATATTTTTTTTGAGGAGTGCATTTGATTGATTGAAAAACTTAATTATAGAAGTTGTAATTAATGCCTCTTTCCTATTTTTTTTGAAACCATAAAACTTCAACTTTTAAGACCAAATTATACTTTTATATTTCTTTTTTCTTTTCTATTCTACTTGTACGTGTATATATATAAAACCTTCATTCTTCTTTGCTTACCTATCTTTTCTCTTTTTTTTTTTCTTTTTTTTTTCTGTTGTTTTTAACTATATATATATATATATATATATATATATATATGTATATGTATATTTATATGCTCACCATGTGAATGGGTTTCTCACTTTATCTCCCTCTTCTTTAGATAAAGAGAAAGGAAAAAAAAAATTATTTTTTTTTTTATTTTTTTTTCAATTCTTTCATTTTCTATGTATATAGTAGATTGAGAAATCATACTTCTCTTATTTCAGACATTAATTACAAATTATTTTTTAACCAATAAGATGTGCGACTGTGAATGGAAAGTCACTTGTGCAACTGTGAATAACACTTATCTTTTTTTTGGAGAGATAGACCACGGCAACACATATAGACTCAAAAATGTTTTCCTTGGACATGTCTTGAGGCACATTGCAAATCCATTAAGTGTTGAAATATATACAAAATTAGTAGGGACATTATTGTCACACAAAAGGGCACTTTTGAATTAAAAATATATATATATACATAATGTCACCAACGGGCTTTTTTTTCGATGAATTCATTTAATAGGGGTAAATTATTCAAAAGATGAATAATATAAGGAATTATATGCATTTTTATTTTTTTATTTTTCTAATAGGCGCAGTTTCTTACACCATTTTTTTATATAGCAGGATATTTTTGCACTTATCCATATAAAGGTTAGATTTTGATTTTTTATTTAATTAAGATGAATATATATATATATATATATATATATATATATATATATATAATATAAATAAGAAATTTCAAAACCGTAAAATCTAACCGATTATATAGGGTTTAATTCTTATATAATTTTAATGGTTGGATTTAATTCTAATATTAGTTCAAACTTAATTGATTCTAATTCATTTAGAATTCAACCCAATTGGACTGTGTAAATTTACTAGTATATTTTTGAAACCAAAATCACACCACGAAATTTACTTGAACAAAAGTTGACTATTTAAACAGACTCTCGCGTGCACCAACTGAAAACCTTAGAAAAATGGAGTGTCCATTTCACATCACCACCAAGTCCCAGTAAAAGTAAACAAATATTAATAAAATAAAAGTAAATAAAATAGCATTCTGCATCTAGTACACAGTTTTATACTCCTTCTCCCTGCTCTCTCTCTCTCCTCTCTCCCCCACTTTCTCTCTCTACAATGGCTTCTTTCTTCCGAGACAGAACCCTCGGCCAATCCAAGAGAGAGAGCATGCCCGGAACAACCAGCTCCCGCTTCAGCCTCACTACAGCCGCCGCCGCCGTTACCGCCGCCACCCCCTCTCTTCCCTCCCCATTCGGCGACCTCACTCCCACTCTCTCCGCCACCGACCTCCGCGACACCGCCTACGAGATCTTCGTCGCCGCCTGCCGCACCTCCACCGGGAAGCCTCTCACCTACATTCCTACCAATTCCTTCAATTCCGACCGATCCCCGTCCCCCTCGCCGTCGTCGCTGTCCAGCTCGCCGTCAATGCAGCGATCCATCACTTCCACTGCCGCTTCCAAGGTCAAGAAGGCGTTAGGGCTCCGATCCACTTCCAATTCGGGCTCCGCTTCGAAGAGGAGTGAGGGGAGTCCGTCGTCGGGCGGGAAGGTGAAGAAGCCGATGACAATTGGGGAGCTCATGAGGGTTCAGATGAGGGTTTCGGAGACTACGGACTCGAGGATTCGGAGGGCTCTACTGAGGATTGCGGCTGGACAGGTGACACAGCTCAATCAGGGTTTCAATTGTTTCAATTCATATACACATTATATATAATGCATTGATATTTTGTTTTTCATGTTCAATTTAGAATTTTGATGATTTGATCTGAAGCTTGAGCTATCGAGTTGATTAGTTATTGCTTGTTTTTTTTTGTTTCTTTCTAATAGTTACTTTTCATGTTCAATTTAGAATTTTGATGATTTGATCTGAAGCTTGAGCTATCGAGTTGATTAGTTATAGCTTGTTTTTTTTGCTTCTTTCTGATAGTTACATTTTTTTTTTTTAATTGGTAATGGTATTGAATAATGTGTGATCTAGATCGGCCCTGCTAATATGTGTGTTAGTGTTATTTTTATTATAAACTAATATGTGTGTTAGTGTTATTTTTATTATAAACTCAAAGACCCTTGATTTCTTTTAATTGAGGTTGGCAATGCATATTTTGAGGATCTGAGATATTAATACTAGACTTTTTGTGATTTTCTTTTTATAAATTTTAAAAAGTTGGTGGAAAAAAACTCCTCCTTTTTAGGAGGATGCTCTCACAATGAGTTCTCAATCAATTGAGTGCACAAATTTACTGTGACAGCACCCTCATGTTGGATTTACTCTATAAAGATTCTAAATTTGACATGTTAATATCTGTTTGGCCCAAATCAACTTTTTTGTAATAACCAAAACATGTCAAACTTTTATATCTATTTTGCGAACTTCTGAATTATTTATTGATATTTTGAGTCAAATTAATGGAATTATATGAAAATTAGATGACTTTCTGACTTTATCAAAGTTCGTTCCCTAATATTCTTGCAAATTCTCTGAATTAAAGTTGATTTTTCTCGATTTGATTTGGGTGTTCTTTGGATCTGTATTCAACTGTCAAGCTGGGTTTTAGAAACATGGAATGCAGTGATAGAGCACTAAATTTGCTTTAGTGGGGCAATTTTGGAGTTTGGACAATAATACGAGGGAAAAAAAAAAAAAAAAACTAAAATAACAAATACAAAAACTTAAGTATTGATTATTAGTACATATAAAATTGTTAACAAGTTTTCACGTTTCCAAAGTGTTACAAGATAATGCGAAGGAGAATTTTGGTTCTTACGTACTGATTGAATGTTGAGAGATTGACTCAGAAAATGTTTTTCTCCTTTCTTTTCTTCTTTTGGAAGAGAGAGAGAGAGAGAGAAAGAGAGAGATACCACTAAATCTTTGGCTCAAGTAGTATCTTCCTTTCTTTCTGAGGGAAAATTTGAGAGTTCAAGTCGCCTTAGGGACAATAATTGATGTGTTTAGAGTGACTCAATGATAGAAAATTTGAAAAACAAAACGTGCTACAATAAAAGGTTATTGATAATTATAAGGGTTGGTTTTAGATATATGAATGTATGCAAAATCAAAATAAAAAGAAAATTTGAGTCATAGTATCTAAGATTTTAGATACATGCAAAGATACGTACATAAAATAAAAATAAAAAATAAAAAATTTGACTGGGGACAGCTGCACCCACTGGTCTAGGCTTCATCCGTGATGGTATAGTTTCTAGTTTCTACATGACTACTATATTTCATGATTTCTATATTTAGTTGCCATTTTGTTTGTTTTTTCTCCTTGACGTTACTCTGTTAATCTGATATACTAATGAACTATAATATTGATTTATCGTTGTCTCCCTTTTTGGGTCCTGTAACATTACATGGGTCTTTGGCATTTTTATTTTTGTCTCATTATCAATAAAGTGACACAGAAAAAAACAATCATAACCAACTAACCAGGTGGCAATTGAATTATTGTCTGTGATTGAATCACATATTTCTAGAAGTGCAAATAAATTTAGGAGCATTTCAATGCTGTTACATATTTATATCTTTGTTCTTTTTAGTCTGAAGATAAAAGTTACTATATCTTTAGAAGTTGTTGAATATAGAGTTCTCGTAATGTATTTTTTACAGGTTGGAAGGCGAATTGAGTCAATGGTTCTTCCATTAGAGTTATTACAGCAGTTCAAATCTTCAGATTTTACTGATCAAGAAGAATATGAAACATGGCAAAAGAGAAACCTAAAAGTTCTTGAGGCTGGTCTCCTTTTACATCCTTTATTGCCGACAGATAAGTCCAACCCTACTTGTCAACGGCTGCGGCAAATTATTCATGTGGCTTTAGATAGACCTATCGAGACTGGGAGGAATAATGAGTCAATGCAAGTCCTACGAAGTGCCGTAATGTCTCTTGCTTGCAAATCATTTGATGGGTCTCTTGATTCATGCCACTGGGCAGACGGGATTCCACTGAATCTCCGACTCTATGAAGTGCTTCTAGAAGCCTGCTTTGATGCTAATGATACAATATCTATTATAGAGGAAGTTGATGAACTTATGGAACTCATAAAGAAGACCTGGGGAATTCTTGGAATTAACCAAATGCTTCATAATCTTTGCTTTTCATGGGTTTTGTTTAACCGTTTTGTCTCAACCGGTCAAGTTGAAAAGGACCTGCTCTTTGCTGCCGATAGTCAATTGGCAGAAGTGGCTAAAGATGCAAAGACAACGAAGGATTCAAATTACTCCAAAATCTTGAGTTCCACATTGACTTCGATATTGGGTTGGGCAGAGAAAAGACTACTAGCATATCATGACACTTTTGACAGTGGAAATATTGATTCCATGGAAGGCATCGTTTCTCTGGGAGTATCATCAGCCAAGATCTTAGTTGAAGATATATCTAATGAGTATCGAAGGAAAAGAAAAGGTGAAGTTGATGTGGCTCGCAGCAGGATTGACACTTACATCAGATCATCACTTCGCACTGCTTTTGCCCAGGCAAGTTCTTTTTCACCACAGCCTATGAGATCCAATGTAGTCGATGTCATTTTGGTTACAGTGGTAATGTTTGAGCTCTAAAATGTGAGAATGCAAGTTTGAGTCTAAGTGCAACTACTTTATCAGAATAATATTAAAATTTAGGTAGCATCCATGCACACCTCCCAACACCCTTGATAAATGGAGAAAACCACCTGATACTGTTAAGTGAATGTGACTGAGAGTTGAAATATGACATGAACGGATGATTCCGATATCAAACATTATGCAACCAAATAAAAATTAAAAAATAAAAGAAAATTATTCAGGACATGGGGTGACTATTTTCCCTACACTTTCTATAATATATATAAGGGCAAACTACAATAGCCCTACCCTCTTGTTAGTCTTAATTACACACGATTCCCCTCTATTTCAAATAATATCACTTAGGTCCCTTCTAGTTTATACTTGTATAACAAACTGTCTGCTACCGTCTAGCTTCGGCCTCTGTATAGCTCTTGGGACGCGTTCCCCATTTGAACACTTTCTAATACATTTTACTTATCAAAAAAAAATTCCTGTCAGCCCCATTTGTTACTCATGTCACAAAACTAAAATATCAAAATGTAAATTTTAACCTTGTGTTGTTTGTGAGAAGACGCATTTGCCCTCTCGTTAACTTAGAGTTTTCTGTTGCATGCCACTCTCTCTCAAACTAATTTTCTCTCTAAACCAGTCACTCTAAAACTCTACTTCTCTAATGCAGTCTGTTTTCCTAAAACTCTCTTGTCATCCAGAATGCTCACACACTGACCTTCTCTGTTTCTTTCTCTGTCTCTGGTCTTCCATCAAACCCCCCAAGCTGGCCAGACCAAACTCTCTCTCTCTAATCAGTTCTTCAATCCTTAGTGTGATTGAGGAAATTAAAATTGAAGAAAAACTAATTAATTGAAGAACTGATATCGAATTAGAGGACATTCCTTAGTCTCAATCTTTATATCGAATTTTTCTAACTTCCTTAGTCCACGACAACCTGGTTTCCCCATTTCCTACTCGTATATACCTTCAATTGCATAAACAGCCATCACCACATAATTAAAGCTCGCAAAACCTCCTCTTTTGCCACAGACAGGATTGCTCTAACGATTCCGACACCATTTAGAATAGAAGCCTTATATAGGGGATAAAAACCCACAAGCACCAATCACAACAATTTGGATTATCACATCAATCACAACCGATCTAGATTGCTGGCAAGCCAGAATACCAATTGATTGTGCTTATTGGGTACCTTTCTATTTTATTTTTGTTTACTTGATTAATCTGCCTCAATTTAAAAAGGGGGTAAGTTGAATTCAAAGAATTAGCCATGTATGTGTGCTGGTCAACCGAAATTAGTTATGGAAAAAGATCATTTAGATTCACCCCAAAAATTGACACATATCTATGAGGAAAATCCTACAATCTGACCAAATTTTAGATCATACCTACAAATAAAGGACTAGCCAAGTGCACAAGGCTCCCACCATTACAGGTCTGGGAAGGGTCTTACCTCGCATGCGAAGAGGCTATTTCCTGTTTCTAACTCGTAACCTTCATGACACAATGGAGCAACCTTACCACTATGCCAAGGCCCGCAAGTCTATATTCAAATTTAAATTGATCTTCCTTCAAAGGCCTGCATATTATCAACAAGTCGGGAATCATTTCTTTTGGTACTTATCCCAGGGAAACAGCAAACAACTGATTCCTGACTTGTGATAATGTGTTCATTTTAAAATCTTGCTCGATATTTTGTTATGTGATGTGCCATGATATCTAGCCACCTAGGATTTAAAATCTTGCTCCATCAGTTGGAACTACTACAAGTCAATCCTGAACTTTGTCTCAGTTTACACGTACTTTGGCTAACCTAAACCCTTTTTTCTTTATATTTAACAGACATGAGGCAGACCTTGGACGTGACCAGTCTTAAAAGCCAAAACCAGATTTTAGGGTGGCCTAGTATTGTCACCTGCTCCACAAGTATCTTAAGAGGATACTGGTAGGTGAAAATGCATTTATTCAAGGTCTTTGATGATATCGTGGCTTGATATTTTACTATAGATTTAGTCACTGTCATATTCTTGAATACCTTCACAATACTTCTCATTTTTCCATTGTGACAAAATTCCCACCCACCCTTCTTTTGTTCATCAAATTGGTGCTGCAAACTTGATGAGTAAAGACGATTCTGACTCAGATGGTGGAGGAAACTAGTTGTATCTGGAGTTTGAAACATGAAATTGGGAATGAAGAGGAGGATATGCATTAGAATTCTTAAATTAATTTATTTGAACTACCTTAAAAAATTTCTAATTTCTGTACTTAGTACTTCAACATATTCCAAAATTCAATTGGAACCTAAAAGCTTTTCCCATGATCACTCTATTTTCCTATAAATAATAGGGCAGAAATTTCAGATACCTGACCTCCTGCCGAACTGCCATTCCTATACCCTTCTTTGTATCATTTTCAACTGATATTGTTAGAGACCCATGCGATTGACAAAGTATTGAAGCAATGTAGATTGATAAGGTGAAGCTGATGGTCTTTCTGCAATCACACACATTGAGTGATTGAAGCCGACACGCCATATGACTTGGGGCTATTCTCTGTCCAACGGGTAGTAACAACTGATTGGACAAAGCTGACAATGGCAATTGCCACAGAGGTTTCAAAAATTCTTTTGACTCCTTTTTCTTCCATGAGTATTTCATGCTCTCTGATGTTGTTTTTTAAAAGTAAAATGCTCATACTAGTTACACATAACACAGTGCATCCCCCATTATGTGTTTCCTGTTCAGTATAATAATGTAACCACACAGTTACTAGATTAACAGTCTATTACTACTGGGGTTGTGACAAAAGACGTTTTAAATGTCAAATTACAGATAATGGAAAAGGCAGATTCAAGCAGGAGAGCATCCAGAAACCAGCCAAATCCTCTTCCTGTTCTTGCCATCCTTGCAAAAGATGTAGGCGAGTTGGCAGCTAATGAGAAGGAGGTATTCAGTCCTATACTGAAAGGATGGCATCCTTTCTCTGCAGGTGTGGCTGTTGCCACCCTTCATGCTTGCTACGGGAATGAGCTTAAGCAATTCGTTTTGGGGATAACGGAGTTGACACCGGATGTGGTTCAAGTATTGAGAGCTGCAGATAAGTTGGAGAAAGATCTTGTGCAGATAGCTGTTGAAGATTCTGTGGACAGTGATGATGGTGGTAAAGCAATAATTCGTGAGATGCCTCCTTATGAAGCTGAAGCTACAATAGCCAGTCTGGTTAATGTGTGGATTAAGGTGAGAGTTGACAGACTGAAGGAATGGGTTGACAGGAGTCTACAGCAAGAGGTATACCACTAATTTTACATTTTTTGTTGTTCTGCCTATCTGTAAATTTTTCATATGAACTTTGATGCTTAAAAATTAGTAGTTACATTATCTTTTCTAGTTTATTTTATTATACTTAAAACTTACTCTTAAAAAGTACTTTTAAAATGCTATAGCTCAGTGCCGTGCTCATACAGGAATTTAGGCTACATTTGATGAGAACTTAAATTGTAAAAATTTGAGTGCCAAATTGGTCCTTACCGGAGCAATTGCCTTTTCTTAGTGCAATGGTAAAACATCAGGTTGCTAAGTGTGCGGAATGCTAGTTTGAGTTTGAGAGCCTATCTTGTGCAAAAATAATGCCAAAGATCAGATCTATATCCTTCTGAACCCTGCCAACTTTCACATAGATGGGAGTGGGTGATGGCCTTTAAATTGACACCTGAAAAGGGAAGGACTGCTAGTCACTGTTATGGAAATATCTCTAAGTCATTGCAAAGGATCACCTTTTACAATCAGTGAGTCGAACAAAAATACTGAAAAGTTAACAAAGTCTTCTTACTAGCATTTGGGTGCACAAATGATGTTCACCATTACAGAGGGTGAAACAAACTCATATAGTTGATGTTTAACAAAAAAAAGGTGTGTGTGTGTATATATATATATTCCTATCATTTGGCTGCACAAAACCTTTTCCATAAGTTTTCTTCTTCTTATTCTTGATCTTTGTCAATTGGCTCTCATATCTTCTCTCACAATTCTATAACTTCTTTATCCAAGGCCGATTACCAGACCCATTTCTCTGAGCTACTTTATTTCGGTAGCGCTGATCCGGTCTTTGGGGTCTGATTACAACATAAGTAGAAAGTAATTAGTCGGACAAATTGATACCATTATTGATTTCGAAATTTGTCATCAATACGCATGTGTTAGAGGATGGATAATGATGTAAGTCATGATACCTTGAGTGATTGTATCTGCTAGTACTAAGATATAAGTTACCCTAACTGAAAAATAATGTTTAAGGGAAAATTGTTAGTTAGGCTCTATAAGGAAACTGAAAATCATTCTCCCTGTAATTCTCCCACATCACTTAAAGTAAGTTGATTGGATAACATTAGTGTAAAGTATTTGTGATGATTATATGGATGATGGTACTACAAAATATTTGGTGTCTTAAGGACGATATTGTATATGCATTGGGTAGCTGAGCAGTTGAAATGAAGTTTCACAGATACTTCCTAAGGCCATAATAGGGGGTAAGTTTAAACATCACTATATAGTTAAGAGTTTAGGTTTGTAAACTTGTATCTTTGGATCCTGATGAGTATGAATCAAGCATTTCTGGATAAACTTATTCCATGATTTGCTAAGGAAAGGTGTGTTCTGTGGAAAGAAGTGGTTGTGTGATGTAACAAATTTTATAGCCGATGGAGTTGGCAGGAAGTTTTTGGTGGGTTAAAGTAATAATGGAAGGTCTTGTAATTTGTTGAATGCGTTGATTTAATGTAGGAGTCAGCGGTGTGAATTTTTGGAATGACAATTGAACAGTGGTATCTTACATCTTCTGGAAATATTGACATCTGTTTGTAATCACTAATCACTATTTCCTGGGCTTAGTTTGAAGATTATGCAATTTTGTGAAGGGGGATTTTCATTTGGAGAGATTGGTGATAGCGTTTAGATGGTTATTTTCTCAGCTATAGGGTCAGGTTCTATTGCTCCTTCACCCTCCTCTTCCCCTTTTACTCTTACCTTCCCTTTTGGTACGTGGATGGTGGTGAGACAAATGCTCGACTATCGATCGTATGATATCTGGATTTGAGTAATTTTGATCCTCGCCTAATTAAAGGGGAATCTGAGTTTGCTCTTTTGTGTAGTGAGGATGCTTGGGAACTGAGTTTTATCAGTTTGTTCTTGATATTGTATGGAGTTGATGGACAAATTCAGACAAATGGGGGAAGAAAGGAAGAAACAAAAAGTGGAGGGCAGATTTATGTGGAGATGCGGGCTCATCAATTCACTATGATCTGTAGAATTGGACATGGGTGTCAAATGTAGAATTTTTTATTTTGTCATGGCAAGAAACTCACACACCCACTTTACTCCTATGGGGACTTGAACCCTCGCCTTCTACTTTGGAAGGCGAGGAAGTACCACTGGGTTACAACCTTTGGTGGTGTCAAGAATAGAATTCAATGTATGCAGATATGCAGTTGCTTTTATATTTACTATAATTCATGGTTTGTTAGCTCATCCCTTAATCAGTGGAAAGCAAATGATTAAAACTCAATAGACGAGTATAAAAGCAGGGAAGAAAGAATTTGTGAAAGGGGTGATTAGATCATCAAATGCCATACAATCTTGGACTAATTGCATTTTGCTTGGCTCGAATAATAAGAAAAGAACATTATTCTACAGCTGGATTGTAATGAGCCTTCAATGATTGTTAAATTTAAACTATGAACTCATGAATGGGAAAGCATATACGAAGAAGTTAACACTGAAAACCAACTGTACAAAGAATGACTACAAAAGAATCCAACGATTAATTGAAAATACTAAGTTGCATATTCAGGTCTATCCTGAATGGTGAGGTCCTAATGATTTTCTGGTGTTTTTTCCACTCTGAATTATGCTTGCGAGGTGATTCTATTGTTGAAATCAAATTAGTGTCTTGGCCTACAATTCTTCCAGTAAGCTTCCTAACATATTTTGAAAATATATAGTCAGAAATAGCATCTTTGGTGATATAGTTATGCACTATCATCACCTATATTTATTGCCAATTATCACATTGACATCTGACTTATCAAAAGGAATGTCACATCTACATACTGAACTATGTTAGGAAGGATGCATTCCACTTGCCACTAAAAATGAGAACGAGGACACCATGTTAAGTTGTTATAGGCTTGTAAGTGGCTATAGCATATTATTTCAGCTAATAGTTTGGTTATCAAATTAGCATTTTTCAATTTTTTTAATTTTTTCCTGAGGTTGCTCTGTCAATCTGCCAACAAAGCTGCAGGAATGAGATAAAATTATTCTTGAAATATTAGATTATTCTTCTTGCAGTCCAAGATATTATTTGATTGTAAAGTTGCAGAATCTTGTTTTGACTTGATGTCCACAGTGAAGAACCTTGCTCATATGACCCAAAAAAAAAAAATAGCACCACTTTTGCACTCCCTGCCAATAATCCAAAGGAGGGAAGACACCTTCTGCAGAGGTGGCGGGAATGAAGAAGATTGCCTCTTTAATTATTGGCTTCACACAATCTAACTTTGTCCTTTGATATTTTATAGGTATGGAATCCACGAGCAAATCAAGATGGATTTGCTCCATCTGCAGTTGAAGTCCTGCAAATTATAGATGAAACTTTGGATGCATTTTTCCAACTGCCAATACCAATGCATCCAGCATTGCTTCCTGACCTGATGGTTGGCCTTGACAGATGTCTCCAGTATTACATAAGCAAGGCAAAATCTGGCTGCGGTAATTATTCGAAAAGGATTGGTACATGGCTTAACATTTTTAGCTTCTGGACTAACTGTTTATTGATTTGATATGTAGGATCAAGGAACACCTTTGTTCCCACTATGCCAGCATTAACCAGATGTACCACAGAAACAAAATTATGGAAGAAGAAAGAGAAGTCACAAAACTCTCAGCGGAGGAATTCTCAGGTTGCAACAATGAATGGAGGGAACTCCTTTGGAGTACCACAGCTATGTGCTCGTATAAACACTTTGCAACGAATTCGGACAGAATTAGAGGTTGTGGAGAAGAGAATGATCACCCATTTGCGGAACTGTGAATCGGCTCATGCAGAAGACTTCTCAAATGGGCTGGGGAAAAAGTTTGAGCTGACACCAACTGCTTGTGTGGAAGGGATTCAGCAACTTTCTGAGGCAGTTGGTTACAAAATCATTTTCCATGATCTGAGTCACGTTCTATGGGATGGTCTGTATGTGGGAGAACCATCATCTTCTAGGATAGAGCCTTTCCTTCAAGAGCTCGAGCAGAACTTGACAACCATATCAGACACTTTACATGAAAGAGTACGTACAAGGGTTATTGCTGACATAATGAGAGCTTCGTTGGATGGGTTCTTGCTGGTTTTGCTGGCTGGTGGTCCCTTTCGTGCTTTTAGCCGTCAAGACTCTCAAATTATAGAGGAGGATTACAAGAACCTTAAAGATCTATTCTGGGCAAATGGGGACGGATTGCCTACTGAATTGATCACTAAGCTTTCAACTACAGTGAATAATGTCCTTCCTCTTTTCCGGACAGATACAGTGGGCCTCGTTGAACGATTCAGACGCTTGACTTTGGAAACATATGGCTCTTCAGCCAGATCAAGACTTCCATTACCTCCAACCTCGGGGCAGTGGAACCCAACTGAGCCAAACACGCTCCTGCGTGTTCTGTGTTACCGGAATGATGAAGCAGCTTCAAAGTTTCTTAAGAAGACCTACAACTTGCCTAAGAAACTGTGATAAAACTTGATAGCATGGTGCGCTGCAACTAAGGCAACTTGTATGAGAATCGATTTGGCAGAACGACATTCTGTGCAGTTCTGCTTGTATTTAATGCATTTATCGGGTATGCTCCTCGTGCCATGCTTGGCTTGGGGCCTTGGAACAACGGGTGCCTTTGGAAGTGGCATATTCTTGTATATTTTGGAGTCAAGACTGCCGTTTGGATCACTAGGGGGGGTTTCCAAAGGCTTGCTTGTGGAAAGGTTGGTGGAGATTCATTATTATTCATTTTCTATATTTTATTAGATCCTTTTAATGCTATTGTTTATTTATTTTTCACTAGATAAATCATCTAAGAGTCCTCTTCCTCTATGCGTTTCATTTTTTTTTTCTTCCTTTTCCCGTTTGGATGTATTAGGTTATATTTGTATTCCTATAAAACATAGGCATTCTGTTGATTTGTAAGTATTTGTTATCAGCATGCCTTGTAAGGCTGTCCTTTATGATGTTTTCTATGGCTCTGGATATCTCTTCCACTATTAGATAATGTTTACGCATATGTATACTACTATGTGTGTATGTATATATATATATATATATAATATTCATGGAATACTGGCTGTAGAACTAACTGGGGATGTACAGTAGCATCAATCGGCACTTTTTTTATGCCTTTCCCGGAAGTAAATGCAAGACACACAACGTTGACCCTGGTGAGACTCAAGCTCTCGTCCTCCCTCTTGAAAAAGAGACCATACCATAAGTTTGTCGCTTAAAACCAATAAGTTTTGCAGAAATAACATGTATTAAACCAGAACTGAAATATACTTAAAACCAATAAGTTTTGCAGAAATGATTTTATGCCAAAAATTTCAAACTCAAAAATGACAACAGGCTCGACTTCTTCATACAACTATAGTCCACGCAACACCAAACATCAGATGGACAGTGCAATTTCCAGAAATCATTTTGGAATACACTGACATGAAAATTTGTATTTTGCTGATGAACAAAATATCCGACATACGGTACAGAAACTAAAAATCCCAGCAATCAAGGCAGATCAGATAGAACTGGCTATATTAACATTCTCTCGACCTTGTACAACTGTCGACCCATTCCCGGCTAAGTGGATTTTCTCAGTTCCATTTGATTTTTGTTATGTAATTCTGCTTTGGTTACAACACATGGCCATTAATTAGGACAAGTGCAGCATCCACCGCCGATACTAGAGGCGCATATTCCCCTTCCAAGACAGGTGCTTTGTCCTCAAACCAGTATCCGTACATTGCAAAACCAGAGGCTTCAGCAGGCCCTGAAAGATATTTGAAGACAAGGACCATGTGTATCTGGTAACTCTCCAATTACAGTTTCTTGGCAAAATGATGTAGGCAACCCTCTTGCTCTGTACCATAAAGTGCGAAGGTGTGATTTGGTCATCGGTCCAAGCATAGAGGTGCTAGAAGGGAAGGATTTAGAATCAATAAATACAAGGTGAATAATATAAAATCACCATTTTAAGCCTGAAGGAGGGAGTTGGGTAACAAGACGCGTACTACAAATATTGGACATTTTTTAATTTCCAACGAAAGCAAAGCATCATTCCTCAAGGATGGCGCGTCCTAGATTAGTGGCAAGAGCTAGCCTGACAGAGCCCAAGGCCTCGGGTGGTAAGTTTGCTTCAATGAAATCAGGGCGCAGCCTTGCCAGGGACAACTCTTGCAATTTATTCAACAGCAGGTAAGTCTGAGAGACATTAAGCAGAGGGCGCCCCGGCCAATTGAGCAATTTCAACTGCACAGAAACATGAAAAAAGAAGTTAATAAAGCAAACCATGCAACTATGCAAGTGAACAAAAAGACAAACCTTAAAAAATTATTGACAATAAACACAATATCCTTAAATTTAAAATATTTATATTTAAGGATACACAATATCTCAACGTTGACACTCTTGCATTGCTATTGTATTTTCTAAGTAAAAGACCCATGTTAATGTAATTAGAGCAGCTTACCGAGTCACATAGAAGAGGCAGCCAAAAGCGGTGAGGCGTAGAAGGGTTTTTCATAAGCTGCATTTACAAGAAAATCTCATCATAAATCATCTATTAAATAATTACATATGCCAAGATGAACTTTTCATTCAGCAGAGAACAAAAACAACCAAAAAACTGCTATGCATGAAATGGTATAATCAAATCACTATAAGTCAATAAGTTGCAACATGGATTTCCTTGTAAAGGATACTAGATTCATAAGCCCTGAACATTTCACATTGAATTGTTTGCTACTGTAGTCGGCAGTATGTTACCCTGATGGCTGTGGTTACATACTAAGTCAAGTGTGTACATAATCATACCAATATAAGGGATTCAGCAGCTTTCCGAGCTGCATCATTAGTAGATCCTTCTTGAACCTGCTGAAGGGATCTCTTGAAATCCCTATACCTGTGCACCACCCATAAAAACAGAGAAATAATGAACAAGAAATTGAAGATATAACCATTTTTGCATGACTTTCCAGAAACAAAAAGAAACGAAGATGAATGAGTGCATACTTGTGCAGAAACTCCAGACCCCCAGCAGTCCTAGACTCAGATCCTAACAATTCAATTAATCCTTCCCATTGCTGTAACAAACGAAAAAAAAAAAAAAAAGGAACGAGTACAACATATAATAAATTCAATCTTCCAAGATTAGGCACTCAGGCTACAAATTTTGTGAATCATCACAGAATAACTGTATGCATATGGACCTCGATTCCAGATCTTCTCAGCTGTGACTCAATGCAATAAAATTAAACAATAATTACCTTGAAACTTTCATCAGAAATTGATTTTCCAACAAAATCAAACAACTGCTGAGCAATTCTGTTTAAACGAACTTCGTCCCGAGCTTGCTGAAGCCAAAAGACCCCAGACCCCTTCTTACCATGCTTCCAGTGGTGCACTCCAGCAATCTATTCAATGAAAGACTACATATTCAAAAGGAATATACATGCATATAACATTATCTCTTGCAAATAACTTCAGTACTACTTTATATAAGTTAAGCTAAAACAGACTATACCGACTGTCAGGTGAACTATTCCAATATACATGTGAAATGCATACATTTGGATGTGCATCAAGAGGAACATCGACCACTTCCAAGATAACATACCTTCATAATGTTTGAACTAACACCATCAAGTTCATACAGACGGCAGATCTCTATGTTCTGCTTAAAATACAAAGTAATTAGTGATCAATCAGAAACACATGCCGGTGCAGGCGCTACAGCCCCACTGACCCCAAGAAGAAAGAGAAAAATCAAACTGATAACAAAAGAAAACTTAATGACCTTGAGCAGTATTTGATTATGTTGTACAGGTTGCTTGTACAGCAAAATCTCCAACAAGCCCATTCCTTGTTTCATGCATGATGTTAAATATATTGGAGCAATCTGTAGAAATGAGAGCATCAAAATGGATTAGGAGAACTTAGCTTGATCATAGAAAAAGACCCATCATGACCATTGAAAATATTAACAGAAAACACGGTAGGGCCGCAGTGGCTAATGACATGAAAAAAAATAGGCCATTTCATTGTTATACACAAGCCATCATCATCAGTAACTTTAAAATTTGGCTTGTCCAATGATCAAGTTATTAAATATTAATAAAAGGATCAATGTAAACTAATTAATTTCCTTTATAAAAATTTAAACAAACTACCATGCGATACTCCTAGGATTAACATGAAACCATAATGATGAAAATCACAATATTAATTTTTGACATGTGGAAGGTCATATATAGTGCACTAAATCACAGGACGATCAAAATCTAAATAATTTCCAGCAGAAGAAACAAGACCAATTAACTCCACAAAGCCTTAAATCCTACCTATTTGAGGTCAGTTTTTGTCTTCACAAGGGTGAACATAAAGGTATTGTGGGCACTAACAGCCTGTTCCCTCCTCCTATCATGAGGCTTGAACCAGCCCTTTGAGAGTTGAGACGCTAAAAATGAAAAATTGTATTCCACTCCTTGGATGAAAAATTAGAGATCTGTTTTCTGGGACAAGTAATCCATTTATTCCATAAGGAAACTGAAAAATCCCAACATGATGCCCTATGACTAAATCAGTAACGACAAAAAATTGAACCAGAGATTCTGCCGGTTCACCCCTCTTCCCACCAGAAACAAAAAAAAAAAAAACGAGTAAAGCACTAGAGATTTTTTGTGCATAGTTCCAACTGCACACAAAGTGCAATTGACTGACTTAATAAAAGCTACTTTTAAACATGTTGAGAAGATAGCAGGACTCTTTTTTTATTCCTTTTACTTAATATCTATTTTCATATAGCTAAATAAGCATACTGGAACATGCAAAATGTTATACTAGGGAAAAGTCAAAAGAAATTCTCAGAAACGGATTTTAAACTGTTTTGCGGTTTTGTAGGAGGCCAAGCTTTCAGAGTCCTTAGTCATCCTTGAGACTAATATTCTTTTCTTAAACCCCCAGAAACAAAGAGAAAAAAGAAGAAAAAAAAAAAGTTTCAGAGGCCACTAGAGATTTTTTGTGGGTGGTTCCAGCTGCACCACAAAGTGCAATTGACTGACTTAATAAAATCTACTTTTAAACATGTTGAGAATATAGCAGAACTCTTTTTTTATTCCTTTTACTTAATATCTATTTTCATATAGCTAAATAAGTATACTGGAACATGCAAAATGTTATAGTAGAGAAAAATCAAAAGAAATCCACATAAACAGATTTTAAACTGTTAATGTGGTTTTAAAGGAGGCCAAGCTTTCAGAGTCCTTAGTCTTCTTTAAGACTAATATTATTTCCTTAAAAAGAAACCAACATAGAAATGGAACAATAAATACATTATTTTCCAACTAATTTGCACTTACTTGCCAAGTTAATGCATGAGAAGATAAAACTTGAGCATAGACAAGTCGGTGGAGCTCCTCTATGCTGATTCCCCCCAGATCATAATGCTCTTCATGTAAAAGAATGTCTGCTTGAGTGCTCCCAGCTGTCAATAACTCCGCCGCATGGGCAATCATCCTACCAAAAAAGAAAATTAACATTGAGTAAATGTCAAAAAGACCAAAGGATGTCCGCATGTTATCACATGATGATTCATTATGAGTCCCCCCTCCCCCTTTTTATCCTTAGGCTAAAAGTAGGGCTGCAAATTCACGCTCGAGCTTGGATCGTTAACAGCTCGGCTCGGTCTCGTTCGTTTAGTAAACGAACCAAGCTCGAGCTCATTTTTCAGGCTTGTTTAATAAACGAGCCGAGCTTGAACAATTCCGAGCTTGGCTATCCAAGCTCGTGAACAGGCTCGCTTAGTTAAAGGGCCTATATTTCAAAATTTTCTATTAAGTTTAGTCCAAACACTTGACTTTCTAAGAATCTAAAGGCCCATGGAGTTTTTTTATATTTATAACCTTGTCCTACATCCATTCCAGTAGCCCATAAGCCCATTAAACCATATATCTAGACAACCATTGGATTACACTGATCTAGCACAACCATTGGATTACACTTATACATGTTATAATCTAAGAAAAGAAACCCTAACTCTTCTTGGAGACGGCAGTCACGCACTGTCAGGCCTCTCCATAAATCGCAGACCCAGTGTCGGCAACTTTTCTACCACTAACTGCTGTGATAATCTTACTCCAACAGCAACTACAAGGTTACTACTCTCTCCCTCTCTCAGCCACGTGCTCACTCTCTCTCAACCATGTTCTCTCTTGGTACCATTTTTCACTTTTATGGAATCATGAGAGGATGAAGAATGTAGACTGATTTTAGACATGGCTGTGATTTCTTGCAATGCGAGCTTGAATAGAGCCAAGCTTGAGCTTGGCTAAGGCAAGCTCCCCCAGCCCGAGCTTGAACATCCTTTTGACCTTGGCGAGCCAAGCCCAGCCAAAGCTTGGCTTGGCTCATTTGCAGCCCTGGTTAAAAGTCTAAAAGATTTACCCACCAGCCATCAGGCTACATGGGGAAAGATACCTTAGTTGCATAAGTATATGTCTAAAGATGAAATATGTTCCTATACTATTAGGTGATGGATCATTTGGAGAGCACCCATCCAACAATCCTTGACCCTGTGATTAATGTTCATGCGCTGTTCAAACAATTAGAAATATAGGAATTAAAACATTCAATGAAAACTATTAGAAATCTAGGAACTAAAACCTTTAATGGCAACCAAGGAGAAAAGAAGAAAAGATTTATCATGCATTACTTCCATGGTTAATATAAAAAAATAATTGATCGGATAAGCTAAAGTGATTGCTAACCAAGGGCCAAATGATCTTGAGCATTCCGCTAAAACAACCTGCAGAGGGAGGGGAAAAAAAGCCAGATGAAATACTTGAGGGAATAAGAAACAACAAAAGAAGATTGCACACCAACAGCGTGTAACATGAGTTCCCTCACCTCTGTATTTTCTCCAAGAATACCACTTAATAATCTCATCAACTTATGGGGATCTGACGTTGGTTTTAACTGCATACATGTCTGAACTAGGCTGAACAGGCTTTCTAAACCCTGATTCAAATATAAGAATTCCATGCCTAGTTCATTGCCTTATAATGCATAAGAATAATAATAATAATAAATAAATAAAAATAACTAATGCTACAACTGTCTATATAATTAAACTCACACAACTTATGGATTAAAATTCACTAGAAATAGGAGGTAAGAATAGGCACTGACCACAGTGAAAGGTCTGATGTATAGTAGCTGTGAAATATACAACTCTAACCAATGGCATGTAGCAGTGCAGAGAATATTGGTGTTTCCAAGCATGATTTGTAGCATATTTTTCAATCCTTCCCTAGTAGGACGGTGACCACACTGAATCCAGAATGCACTGCTGTCCAGCTTAGAAATTTGTCCCCGCCATTTCTCCCATGCCTAGTAGATGAAGTTCTTCAAAATTTAAGGGGAGAAGATTTTTGAAAGATAAAATATACCAAAAGATCCAAAATTACCCTGATAAAATCGGGCTTCGTTTTATAGCATTCACCCAATTTCCCAGCTTTGAGACCAGGACGCATACGTGGCATTTTTGAAATAAGAACAGCAATTGCTTCCACCAGTCCATTTTCTGCCTGTTCAGTCACATGATAAAAATCATAAAACATGTGAGATAAAACAATCATACCAGTTACATAGCAGATAGCAACATCATCACCAAGTGTACAAAATTAAATAACTGACTCGAACAATGATATATATAAAAATAATAATATAAAAACTAAATCAGACAATCACATTTAAGATATCGGCATACCAACTAGTTTCGTGAAGAGAAACAAACAATTTAGCTTTATTAACTCAACTAAGAGAACCTTATACCAACTATTCGATGTCAACTTCTAATTTTCTTTCATTTTCCTGCTAACATTACCCTTAATGTGGATCGTATTATTCTTCCTCACTGAGATATTAATTGCTCTTCACCACATATACCTAAACCATCTTAGTCATTTTCATTTTCATTTTCATTTATCTCTAAAAGGTGCTCCTATTGTCTTCAAAATGTGTTCATTTTAATTTACCTCTCACCTTACCACACATTGATTTCAACGTAAGCATAATTTTCTTAACATGATATGTCTTAACCTGTGTTACTTGGACTCGCCAGCACCAGCATGAGTGTCTATGTTGACACAACATGGAGACGGACATGGGATATGTGTCAGACGCATCGACTTGTCTACCGGACACGGCTGATGACAAAAACCTTGAAAAGGATGTGTCTGGTTCAAAAATGGTGGTTTGTATTCTGGAATAGGGTTCTGAAAGATAGAAGACGCCCTGAAATAACACATTGTGCATGCCTAAATTCTTGTGTCTGATCAAGTGTGTTTTTCACACAAATGTTACAATGTTTTTTAATTTTTTTTGCCTAAAACCCTGACCAAAGTTACCAAACACGCATGTTTCAAATTTTAAGTTTTAAACTTACTATGTTAAATATAGTATGTGGGTTACAGCTGTAACCCACAATCCTAAACACAGTTGTAACGCACAAGTACAATAGTATAAATAAAGTATTAAAGCCTATAAATGTATGCATGTGTTCTCTAGTTAGCTAACCCACAAATATAACACCAATGAATAATGTGCCATACAATGTAGTGGAATGTTGCTTTGGTTCCATCTTATCTCCAAAATACAGTGAATGGCATCAAAGAAATCTGATTAGCCAGTGAGCAAATCTTTTTTGTCATGTTCAAATATTTTGGAGTTCACCTTCTCAATCATCGTATCCCACATATGATAAATCAAATGTAGAACAGGAGCACCAATGTCTGCTAACCTTAAAAAGTCAATTATAGGTTCAGTAAAATGCAATAGGTATTCCAAGTTGTCCCACCAACTGTCATTGACAATACACTGCTTAACTTCACGAACCTTGATCTCCATTGTTGTTTTTCCATCTCCTCTTCGAGATATTCTCCAATTTGCATCCAACACCATTTTCTCAAATGCAACCTTCTCTCATACGTTTTCCATGATACTGCTTGATATAAATCTTGTCTTTGCTATCTTTAGTAAACATAATTTTGAATAAATGTTGAAAATTGACAGTATCATGCCATGGTTAACAACGAAATTTCTTATGTTTTGCATATCGCTCACCAAATCAGCAATCCACTTGCAAAGAGCATATTGAGGTGACTTTTCAAGAAGGTTCACACATGCTTTTTAGAGCCAAATTTAGGCAATGCACAACTCATGCGGTTAAAAAATAGGTGAGGATTGGAGAACACGTGCATACCTTTATATGCTTTAATACTTTATTTTATTATTTATTATTGTATTTGTGGGTTGCAGCTGTAACCCACGTACTGTATTTAATATAGTAAGTTTACAGGTTAAAACTTAAAACATGCATGTTTGGTAACATTGGTAAGGCAAAAAAAAAAACATATAGTATAACATTTGCCTGAAAAACAAGCTCGGTCAGGCATTAGAATTTAGGCATACACAGCACGTTATTTCAGGTCATTTTCTATCTTTCAAAACCCTATTCCTCAGTACAAACCACCATTTTTTAACCAGACAAATCCTTTTCAAGGTTTTTGTCATCAGCCGTGTCCAGTAGACAAGTTTTTTTTTTTTTTTTTTTGATAAGTAAAATGTATTAGAAAGCGTTCAAAAGAGGAACGCGTCCCGAGATAAACACAAAAAGAATCTATGAACTCAAAGAACCCAAAAAGTCCACAATGTCCACTAAAGAAGAATAATCCCTCCCCCAACCCCAACAAAAAAGGGTACAAATAATAGAAAATTTCAGCTCTCCAATAGAGGACTCCTTCCCATCAAAGATCTTATGTTCCGCTCTTTCCAAAGACTCCGCCAAACGCAAAAAGGGGTCACCCTCCAGAAGTCTCTAGCCTGAGCCCCCACCCATTGGCCCCTCTAAATATCTAGCAATCCTCAAGAAGTCTGAAGCATAACCCAATCGATGCCAAACAAACCAAGCAAAAGACTCCAACATTCATAAGCAACAGGACAATGCAACAGAAGGTGATCCACGGACTCCCCAAAACACTTGCAAAGACAACACCAGTTAACAATGATATGTCTTCTCTTCCGTAAATTGTCCAAAGTCAGAATCTTACTCCAAACTGCAGTCCACACAAAAAAGGCCACCCTAAAGGGCGCCTTAGAGAGCCACGCCGTCTTCCACGGGAAGGGCAACCCATGAAACCCAGAGAGGCGCACAAAGAATGACTGGACCTGGAACATCCCATTAGAAGAAGGCACCCAAAACAAGGAATCCACACCAGTGCCATCCAATTCCTGTTTATACAAAAGGGCCAACAAGCCAGTGACATCATCCAACTCCCAATCCTGAAAAGGTCGCCTGAATCGCACATCCCAAGACAACGTCCCGCTATCAAGGCGATAGCAGTCAGCAACCATAGCATGTTTGTCAACAGCAATCCTAAACAATCTTGGAAACAACAGAGCCAAAGGCCTATCTTCGCACCATGAATCCTCCCAAAACCTGACAAATCTTCCATCCCGAACTCTAAATCTAATGTGTTTGGAGAATTCATCCCACCCCTTCCCAATGGACCTCCACACCCCCACACCATAAGCAACCCTAACAGGCCTAGCTGACCACCCCCCTCTCTCCTCCCCAAAACGACAAGAAATGACTTTTCTCCATAATCTATGTCTTTCACTGCCGAACCTCCAAAGCCACTTGCCTAGAAGAGCATTATTAAAAGGGGCCAGTCTTCTAATTCCGAGACCACCAAGCTGAAGAGGCTTGCAAACCTGATCCCATTTGACAAGATGATATTTAAACTCCTCCCCACGACCCCCCCAAAGGAAATTCCGTTGGAGCATCTCTAGTCTTCCCATGGACACTCTCGCTAGTGCCGAGAAGTCTAGGCAACACAATCGTAAAGATATATATTATATTTTTTTTTATAACCAGGGCAAAAACATGACTTGATGCTAACCCCTCACTAAAGGCTATAGTGATTGAGAGTTCACTTTCTTGTGCAATTGTTCTTACCATAGCCATAACCCCATCATAAATGTCCTTTGTCATGTCAATTTGTTTTTTGTAACTTCTTTTTCAAAATTCAATGACCTCATCATAGTCTATTACGACGAACGTAGCAAACCAAGAACAAAACAAGAATCACGATAGAAAAGTAAACATGCCACATACACAGAACACAAAAATTTACGTGGTTCGACACAAGTTGTGCGGCTTGTGCCTATGTCCACGGTGAAGATCCGGCAAAAGATCACTATGTGAAAATCAGGAGATTACAAGTTTCAATCCCCAAACCCTAGTTCTCGCACTCACTCTCTCTCTCTTTCCTGTAATTTCTCACTCCAAACCCTAAACGCACTTATATATCAGGCTAAAAGAGAGTACTAAACAGGGTCCACGACCTGCAAGCAAAAATAAAAATACAAAAAATGAAAATAAAATTTTAATTTTCCAAAATTCAGGCCACAACATCACATAGTCTTTATCCAAATATATAAAAATCATATAATGATCTCTCTAAGGGTCATTATCCATTGTGATCCCTGCAAATCCAACATGCTGGGAGGGGTAGACTGGATGCATAACTTATTTGCATGAAATGGCAGATCTCAAGATTCAAACCTCTATTTCCATGCTTGACAACCCAATTATTTTACCAGCCCACCAAACAATGATCCCTTCTATTAGTCTCTACAGTATGTAAATATCTACCATTATTGACCTCCCTAATACGAATCCAATTCATTCTCTGATATTATTGTTTAAATTCTTAGTCACTACTTCAAATTGCATCAACACAACAAAAACAGTCTATATAGTAACAAAGACTCCACACTTCAAACACCAACTAAACCCATAAGGCTCTCTCTCTCTCTCTCTCTCTCTCTCTCTCTCTCTCTCTCTCTCTCTCTCTCTCTCACGCAGACACTAACTAGAACTAGCTGCTCATGCATATAAGCAAAACTTAATTCCAGTTAATTGGAGTTGAATACAATTCCTTGCTGGCCTGATAGAGAATAGTGGCAGCAGCCTTTTAAGTTATATAAAAGCCGTGGCAAGGAGGGTTCTAAGGCTCAAACCTTAATTTGGCACATGCTAGACGATGGGTTCACTTGGAGTCTTGCATAATTAGGGGGATTTGGTCAAATTGCATAATTATGGTAGCTTGCATCAATTTCGATCAAATTACATCCGTCCATAGTAATTACTTTTATTATGCTAGAGTCAAATATTGATTACCTCAATTACGGGGTGATTACTTTTATTATGCTATAGAGTCAACTTTTGATTACCTCAACCATGGGGTAATTAGAGGGTCATAAGTTGCTATAAGAAGGGTATGATGTAAACTTGCTGAGGCAGTCAAGGAATGAATAAAAATATCTTTGAGATTTCTTTGTGAGTGATTCACAATTTGTGAGGGTGTGAGGCCTTCTCTAGGTGTGATACCTGGACCTGTTGGTGTGATTCCAGTAGGTTTTTGTTGTTTTCAATCCTTTCTCTCTACTAATATTTTGAACCATAGCTCTGTTTATTTTAATTAACAACCACTTCTCCTTTGGTTTTCTACATTTCTACTATCAAACTCCAAATTTCTGCCCTAGTTCTTGAACTTTCAGACTCTGAATTCTTTGAGTTCTTAGCTATTTAAGGCTGCTCTCTTGTCCTACATCATGGCCAGACTTTTTGAGGGTTGTATCACCAATCAACTCAGCATTTGCTATGTCAGACAAATGGAAATTTTGATGCATTATGTTACAAAAAGGTTAAGTGCTGATGGAAGGGTGTTAAAAGCAATGGATGGAGAGACAAAAAAGAAAAAAAAGACCATATATGATGAGGCACAAGTGTAGCACCAACATGTATAAAAGTTCGAAGATTTAGAGAAAACCGGTTTTGTTATATGGATGGAAGACCAATGAGCATTATAAAATATAGGAACTCTGGCATTACAAAAGTTCAAAATATGGGGAAATAATAAGTAAAACAATTACATGTGATAAATGGAACATATACAATAGACAGGGAAGCAAGAAAGGGCAGTTTTGAATAGACAACCTGAAAAATAGTGAAATAGAGCATGAACAGTGTGAACTGAGGACGTTAAGGCCTTGTGAAGTGTGTTACACAATCGAGCTCACATCCCCATAACTGCTATAGGTTAATGGTTTATAACTAACCTCGCGGTTTCCAAGCTGATCGAGCTGATAAGATCCATGCAACCGCAACAGTTTTACCTGCAAGTAAGAAGTATAAAACTGGTGCATTGCGCAAGCAGCATATATGCTGTCACTTTTTTCAGTGTGATATGTTAATCACCAACAAAATAAGTGAATAAAACTTACCACAATCTCTAGCCAGCCAACTGCCAATGCTGATGACAATGCTTCCCAGTATTTAGGATCATCTTCAATTGCCTGAGAAGAATAATCTTCAATAACATTTATACCATTTCACCCAATCAAATTTGCATCCACTAAGAAAACCCCATGAATTAACAAGTGAAACATATATTCCATATATTCCATGTAAAATTCGTCTAGACAAAAGATCTACTTGACAGGCTCACATCTCTAGTCAGGTTGCCAAAACTCAGATGACCAAATATTTTCAGATGGTCCAAGGAACATAAGGTAGTAAGAAGCAAATTAAAGATATTACAACACTAAAATAGTAAATGAATTTTGCTAAAACAATAACAAAAAAATGAAATGTTATTTACAAAAGAAAAAGAAAAAAAATAAAAAATGAAAGAAAAGAAGATTAGGCAATGGCCCCATCTAGTTTGCTTCCACCTCATCAACACAATGGCGTCGATATCAGATCTCAATTGTTTTTTGACAATTCCAAAGTCTTTGTGGCTTTCATGTGCTGCCTGGGTATTGGAGAGATCTGATCCAATGGGCTACCACTCACTTGAAAAGTCAAACCAAGTTTAGCAGATACCTATCAAGAAGTTTTGCCTAGCCAACCAGTTGTTTGCATCACCACATTTGGAGAGAGAAATGATCGTACATGCAGAAAAGTCTGTTGTTCCTGGACTAACCTGTTAAATTCTATTTCTGACTCAGTTAGATGCAAGCTGATACCTATGGAAGTTGAGAACTAAGAATTCCAGGCGGGTGAGAGTACTTGGAGCTGACTGGAGCCTTCCGTCATAATTTATCCTCCCTCACATCCTCCAGATAATCACTAGCTTATCTATTATGGATCTTGATATCTTCTGCATAGAGACTTCTAAAGCTCAAGTGGTCTTCTCGGTCTGACACTAAAGATGTCTTTTCTACTCTTTTGTTTATGGCTTATTTCATGTGTTGGTCTGTGATGGCATTCATTTGCCTTGTCCTTTTACCTTGTTTGGGCTTGTAGCCCTTGTTGAGGTGTTTACTCCTTGTGGTCTGGCTAGGTTTCCTAGCTTTTTGTACGTTCTTTCTTTCTTGAATAAATATTCAATTAGAAAGGGAAAAAAACAAAAAAACAAAAAACTTTTGCACTGTGGTTCCGTGGCCCAACTATAAATCAACAATCTTGCTCCCGCTTGATACAAACTAAGCGGAAGTACTGCCAAATGCTTTGCTACCCAACAAAAGGTCATACCCAAGTGATAACTACATCAGCCGTGTGCTGCCTCATATTTGTACTTACAAAAAGTGATGAAAGAAAATATGAAAAGAAAAAAATAAATAAAAAATCAAAGCACAATTAAACCTGTAAAGCGACAAGCTCTTTCTGAAACTCCACAAGTTTTGAATGGACCGTTGGCTGAGTCCCGGACAGTAGAGTATCATATTCCTACCAATTAAAAAAATTAAAAATTCTTTAATTTGATAGATTTAATAGATTGCCTCCAACAGAAAGAGGAGCGCCACCGTGGATTCATTTGACATAAGAAGTAAGCATAAGAAAGATCCTTACAGCTAACCAATCAACAAGCTGTTCTGGAATCCAACCTTGAGATTGTTTGTCCGCATAAAATATTTCCATCAGCTCCCATGCAGCCTTCAAACAAGTTGGCTCCTCAACTTTCTATGTAAAAAGAAATTGTATTTAGACACAATAACAGGTATTAAAATAGAACCAATTAAGTTCCAGATATGAACATATCTCCCGAACATGGTCCAGGCCCAACAGATAAACAATCAAAACGCAACCTGCAAATCCACATCAAATACAAATATCCACCTTTAAAATTGTCTTTGGGTCTTCAATCACCGAACTAGGAGGCAACTTTGGACTACCGAGAAGAGAATTTATGTCCTTGCTGTACTCCATGACATATTCCCACCTGATTATATAAAAAAGTGTGATTACTTGTTTAATAAAGACTAACAGATATGAAGTAATATTTTAAGTAAAATTAATTTAACTGGGCAGAAACATTCTTTTGTCTGGACTAAAATTTGCACTATACAAACGGCATTACAAACAAGAAGAAAAAAATAAAAGTAAAAAGGAAAGTATGAAAACAAAATTTTAACCTAATTGATAGTGAATTATTCTTCAATGAAATGGTGTTCAAAGTTACATGCATCGACGGATGTTGGGTGCTTTTAATTGCAGAGCAAGCCTACACGAAAGTCATAAAAAAGCTCAATACCCTTACTTTTGAGGTTCTAATGAAATTAGGAAAACAAATATATGAATTCCTTCTTATTGTATATAAAATATTTTCAAAGAGCCAAGTCTTGCCATCTCTTCAATCCTCTCATACTCCCACATGGAAATTTAGAGCTACGGGACTAGAATTCACGTGGTTGGGTCTTCAACACGAGTTTAGAAGCCATTATCACTTGCTGTGAGTATGGAAATGTGAAGAAGTCATTCCACTGGAATAATCCCCTATAATATTAATTTTTTTCTCATGTTGCAGAAATCCTGCTTTGGTCTCAAAAGGTTTCTTGATAAAACAATTTTGTTGATTAGTGGAATTCTCTGTGGTGGCACCTAGTGAGGGTTTTCACATTAGTGGATGTGTTCTTTCTTTTAAACCTCACTTAACAATATCTTATTCTTGACATTCAATTGTGGAAAATTAATCAAACACTTTGCATATAGCTTGACAAAGCATCACTCTAAATAACCCTATCAAGCTTGGGACAATTCAACTTCAAATGCACAGAATCAGAGCATTACTATGAAATTGAAGCTAGCATCAAACAACACTAATGCATACATATATCTAAATGTATGTAAGGGAAAAATTCATAATATATATATATATAACTATGTATATGTATGTGAAATCAATCTGAATTGAAATTTGCTCAACTCAATTACCACTCAACATTATACGGAGACGAGCCTAACGAAACTTTTGACAGAGCCAGCAGTGAGTTTTTCCGACTCTGAAGATGTGCAAACGGGGACACCGAACCGTACGCGATCCTCCGCCACTGCGCGTCGCCGATCTCATCATCTCCACTAGCAAGCTTCACTTCCACCACTTTGCCGCCGACTTCGGCGCCCAATTCGCCGTCGTTGGTGACGTCGTTGGGCTGAGGTTGAAGTTGCCGGAAGACTGACACGCGGAGAGAGTTGCCACGAGACCACGAGATGGAGAGGCGAGAGATTGGGGGTTTGAGGCCGTGGCGGAAAGGGTAGACGACGGGTTTTTGGGGTTCCGGCGAGAAAAGGACCAGGGCGGAGTCGCCGATATCTGACGCAAGCGCGGGCATATCGCCGGAGAGTAACCGGCAAGCCGACGGCTATTCTGCTGATTTTAAGGGTTTTGGAGGGGTTTTTTCTGAGTAGAACTCGCAAGTGTTGACTGAGAGAGACGCTCTCTACACTGGACGACGGGCATGACTAACGTGCGCTGGGATGTAACTAAGCTTTGTTTGGATACACTGGAGATAAAATAAAAGAAAGAAATAGTATTAGGTATGTGAGAAGAAAAAAAATAAGCGAAAAGAAAAAACATATGACAGTGTTTTTGTTTTAATATGGTAGAGGGAATAAAATAAGAGAAATAATAATATTTAAAATATTATTTTATCTTATAAATAAATAGTGGGATATCATATATGAGTGGTATAATAATTTTTTTTTAAAATTATTGAGAACAGTTTCAAGATTATGAAAATACTAATATTTAAATCTTTTAATGCTATAATTTCTCTCTCTATCTACTCATTTTTTAAAAAGAAGAAAAATAGAAATAATAAGGGATAGCTATCCCTCTCTGCTCTTTCCCTTTTTTTTCTTTTCTTTTTTTCTTTTATTTACCAACCAAACACACTCTCACAATCTTTTCTTTTTTTTTTTTTCTTTTTTTTTTTTTTTATTAATGACACGACTCGTGGTTACACTTGTAATATGACTTATGCAAAGTGACAAATTGAATGTGTGAGTGTGTTTTTTATTTTTCAATAATATATTTAACTTGCTGCCTATTTTATCAATTAGAGTTTTAATTATAAAGTTATATGATTGGGAATTAAATTCATGAAAAGGACAACAATTTGGACAAAACAATTATGATAAGAAAATGATAATGCAAAATCTATATTGGGTTTATATTGAAATAACAAAAATGTCTATAAAAGTTGGATTAAAATAAGTTAACCATTATGACCTGATTAATTAAAGGAGTTGAATCTCAAAAATATATATATACACATTATCTGTATCTATATCTATATCTGTACCTATATCTATACTATTATTATAAGTATAAGAAATTTTAGTACATTATTTATTTATTTTATTTATAATGCATTTTGAATAATATAAAATTACCTTTTCTATTCTATTCTTTTTCTAACTATTCCCTAAATAATAAATTTTTTATACCTCTATTATCTTTCTAACTCTTTTCTAAATAATAATTTAGGTTTTTTTTTCCATTTCTATTCATTTTTTCTATCAATTTTGTAATAATATATATTTTAAATTTTTATAATATTATTTAATTTTAAATCTCTTACCAATATACTCCTAAAAATTCTATAAAATCCTAAACTCCAGGGATGGACCCAAGAAATTACGAGGGGTATATAGTTCAAAAATATACATAATAATAAATTGCCAATGCATTAGGTCCGCCCATAATAAACTCTATCAACTACTCCTAATAATTTTATACAATATTTTTTTTATCTCTATAAATATATAAAAACAATTATCTTATATTTGATTTTTTATAATGTATTTTAATTTTTTATAATAATATTTACTTTAGTAAATATATAAAAACAGTTTTCTACTCCTAAAATTCTATATCAACTACTAAAAAAATTTTTAACTCTACCAACCACTCCTAAGAATTTTATACACAAAATTATTTTTATATTTTTGCTTTTGATCATTTTTATTTTTTTTAAAAGTGATGCAAACATAATTATACCCCATATTATGTTCGAGTCATGTTGACAAATAATGTTGAAATTATTTTTTATTTTTATATATTTGGTAAACTGGGATTTTAATTTAAAGAATACAAGACGCGTCAGGATCAAAATGTAAAGATTGAAGCAAATAGTATAATGACTACGTAATATAAGTTCTTCTTTCCGTCTACTAGTGAATTTCAAGGATTAGCATTACAACAATACAAGGAGCAATGCCAAAATAATATATTCTAGACCCTTTCATGTAGAGATTATGGAGTATCACATAGAGAGTTGGAAGATTCTAAAGACTTGTATATAGATGCAGAAAGAATAGTAAAGATTTTTATACGGTTGTAAGTATTTAGAATGTGTGGGAAGGTTGGATAGCTGTAAATAGGTGAGAGAATCATTTCTAACCATGCTCATATAACGAGGAGCTCTACTAATAACATAATAAAATATTTGAATAGAAAAGAGCACACCCTTAATAAGTTGAAACAAAAATTTATTAGGTATAGTTTGATATTAGAAGTAACATTTTCCACTCGCTGACAAAAATTAGATGATTTTACTTTGTTAGTCATAACAGCAACACTATGTAACTGAAATGAATATGAAAAAAAGTGACAAATAGCCATATGGCAAAAATGGAAAGGCTGAGGATTCTCTTCTATTTATTCATTGTACATCATTATGAAAAATAAGAAAGAATGTAATAAATTCAAAATAAATGGAGAAAGAATGTAATAAATTCAAAATAAATGGAGAAAGAATGTAATAAATCCAAAATCTTGAATATGATGGTTAAGATATTTGAAATTTGAAATAAAGTGTATTAATGAAAAATTGTTCTAAAAATTTAAAGCATTGACATAGACAACTTTGGTGGGCAGTACAATTACACAATCTTTTCTAATAATTAATAATAATAATAATAATAATAGCAGCCATATAAGAATATGCCATCTAATAACTCATTATTGAAGCAACCAGTCTAAGTGATCAGTCCGAGTGTTATAGAGGGATACAGGGTAAAAGGCTAGACATTTCATTTTGAATTTCATGCAGTAATGATGTTTAATTTTGCGGAGCCTAATTTTGTTATTACATGCAAGGATTGTCATACAAACATATTTACAAGGAATGTTACAAAAAAAAATCGTGTTATAGAGGGATACAGGGTAAGAGGCTAAATATGTCATTTTGAATTTCATGCAGTAATGATGTTTAATTTTGCGGAGCCTAATTTGTTGAGATTTTACCTATTGTACTGCTGTAGAATTGAATTATTTTCTCCTTAATTTAGGACTAATTGGTAGGTAATTAGTTTCCCGATTATTGTATATTTAGTTACCTATTTTAGCTAGATATTATTCTATAAATTGTATGTAACACCATCGTGAATATTATTGAATTGAGTTTTGATTCTCATATTCTTTCTCTGATTTTGAAGATGGTATCAGAGCCATTCTTGAACCGTCACCTTGAATCTCTTTAAATTTATCTTTGAATTTAAAACCCTATGCATACATACCCATACACAATCCAAAGACCCATCCCATACATATACAGTCATCCATACCCATCATCCCTTTCACCAATCTGCCAATACAGAATCATCTTCCCTTTCACCAATCTACTTTCGTTGCCATCACAAGTCACTGCCGTCACAAGCCGCAGCCGTCACAAGACACAGCCATCATAAGCCGCATCGCCGTTGCCGGATCAAAATCACCGTCCATCGCTCACGCCGGAGCCTGCCGAACCGCTGTCCATAGCTTTGTCGGTTCTTCTTCTCCTCGCCGGATCTTCGTAGGATCTTCTCCATCATTGCCGCCGGATCTACCTCAGTTGAACCAACCGCCTCTTTGCTGCTGAACTGAACCAGCCGCCTTCTCCGTCATCAGATCGCCGGCTCCGGCTGCTATCCACGGCCATCGTTTTCCTTTGCCGAATCTACCAAAGTTTTTTTTTTCTTTTGTTCTTGTTGTTTCTGCCTCTTAACATAGACGAATAGTTCTTGAAATTTGTTTTTTGTTTTATTTTTAATATCTATATATATATATATCAAAAAAAAAAAAAAAGGAAAAAAAAAACGAAGATGACTGAAAAATCTATTGAATCCTCTGGGACGAAATCAGTTCCTATTTTTGTTCAATCTGAAGGTGTTTTTAATGTAGGGATTAATCTTACTGAATCTAATTATGACGTTTGGTCCCAACTGATGGAGATGCATATTGCTGAAAGGGAGAATCTATCCTATATTCGTGGCAAGACTAAGCCACCTGCTGAATCAAAAGATGGTTATGATAAGTGGTATGCCGAAAATCAGAAAGTGAAACGGTGGCTATTAATGTCCATGACTCCGAAAATTATGAAGCGTTATTTACACTTACCCACTGCCCGCGAAATCTGGAGTTCTCTATCAAAGGCTTTTTATGATGGGAATGATGAGTTGCAAGTTTTCGCCTTGAACCAAAAGGCCTTCACCGCCAAACAAAAGGGAAAATCTCTCTCTGAATATTATGGAGAGCTCACTGAAGTTTTCCGAGTATTGGACCATCGAGATAAAGTGGTCATGAAAGATCCAGATGACATTGAAGCATATCGGAAGTCTATCGAGCGACTAAGGGTTCACATTTTTCTTGCCGGATTAGATGGTGATTTTGAACAAGTTCGTGGAGAAATTCTACGCAATGATCCAGTTCTAGACTTGGAAGGCTGCTACTCGTTGGTTCGACGAGAAGCGGTACGTCGTGCAACTCTGAAAGGGGAATCCGAAAACTCTGAAGCTTCAATCATAATGGCTCGAAACAGGTCTAAGCAAAACTGGCAGGATCATTCTAAACCTAATCAATCCAAAGCCATTAACGGTGCAGACAAGTCTACCTACAAATGCACCCATTGCAATCAGACTGGTCATACCAAAAGTCGTTGTTTCGAACTTGTGGGATATCCGGAATGGTGGGATCATAGTCGTTGGAAGAAGAATTCAACAAAGACCTCCACTGCCGCAGTTGTTGAGACAGATAATGATGATGCTGACAAGGCCTTGGGGTTGGTAGTAACTGGAGATCATGGTGGTAAGGTTTTAAATATTTCTACACCTGTTGTTAATAGTGCATGGATAATTGATTCTAGTGCTACAGATTATATGACATGTGATTCTAGACAGGTTTCCCCGATAATTCCGCCCCACAACAATTTGTTTCTATTACTAATGGAACTTCGACCCAAGTTATTGGGGAAGGATCTTTCGACCCAAGTTATTGGTGAAGGATCTTTGACACTCACTGATAATTTAAATTTAGATTCTGTTTTGGTTGTTCCATCTTTATCTTATAATCTTTTGTCAGTTTCCCAAATAACCACATCTTTATCTTGTGTTGTAATTTTTTGGCCTGATTTTTGTGTATTTAAGGACATTCAAACAAAGCAGACGATTGGTTGTGGTATTAGGCGAGGGAAGCTGTATTACTTGGACTTGCTGTCAAAAAGTTCCGCCAAGCTACAACAAGCATTGACAGTAGATGATTCTGAAGGAGAGAAAAAGAAATGAAGGCTCTTAGGAAGTACTTGTCCAGAGAATTCGAAATGAAAGATCTAGGTCCTTTGAGATATTTTCTTGGGATCGAAGTATCTCAGTCTAATAAATGAATCTTTCTATCTCAAAGAAAATATGCCTTAGATCTATTACAAGAGACTAGTATGACAGCATGTCAAACGGCTGAGACCCCAGTGGAAGAAGGACTGAAGTTATGTGTTGAGTCCAACCAAGTACCTGCTAATAAAGAAAGATACCAAAGACTTATAGGGAGATTGATGTACTTAGCACACACAAGACCGGATCTGGCTTATGCATTGAGCATTGTTAGCCAGTTTATGCATGATCCTGGAGAGCAACATATGACTGCAGTTATGCACATTTTGAGGTATTTGAAATCTGCTCCTGGAAAAGGAATTTTGTTCACTAAAAATACTGGTTATCAGAACATAAATGCATATACTGATGCTGACTGGGCTGGAGTTATAGATGATAGGCGATCTACTTCTGGTTACTTCACTTTTATAGAAGGTAATCTTGTTACATGGAGAAGTAAGAAACAAAATGTTGTTGCTCGCTCGAGTGCAGAAGCTGAATTCAGAGGTATGGCACATGGACTTTGTGAAACTTTGTGGTTAAGACTTCTCTTGCGGGATTTGGGTTATCTACCTGGATAACCGATTCGACTATATTGTGATAATAAAGCAGCATGTGATATTGCCCATAATCCAGTTCAACATGGTCGTACAAAGTATGTCGAAATAGACAGATTCTTCATTAAGGAAAAGTTGGATGAAAAAATTGTGGAGTTGCCTAATATTTGATCTGAGGATCAACTAGCTGACATTCTCACCAAAGCAGTCTCAAATCAAGTGTTTTCAAAATTTTTAGACAAGTTGGGCATGTGTGACATCTATGGACCAACTTGAGGGGGAATGTTGAGATTTCACCTATTGTACAGCTGTAGAATTGAATTATTTTCTCTTTAATTTAGGGCTAATTGGTAGGTAATTAGTTTCCCGATTATTGTATATTTAGTTACCTATTTTAGTTAGATATTACTCTATAAATTGAATGTAACACCATCGTGAATATTATTAAATTGAATGTTGATTCTCATATTCTTTCTCTGAATTTGAAGAATTATTACATGCATGGATTACGATACATACATATAACTGTACAAGGAATGTTACAAAAAAATCGTGAAAAAAATAAAGAGAAAAATGAAATGTTACTCGATAGCCAAAGACTGAACTAAACAAGGTGGAATCAAATTTATAACCAACAAGGCGTAGAGTAAAATAACTTTCACCATAATCTATAAATTCATACAAGGGAGAAAAAATTTATATAGATGGTTTTTTTTTTCATAATTTTAATAGGAGTAATTTTAAAATTTTATGGGTATAAATACAAAAAAATATAAATTTAACTATGTAAAATGTAATAATAAAAAATTTTAGTGGGGACTGCCCCCTCCGAACCCACAGTACATTTGTGGCTAACTTTGACCAATAGATAATAGATCTCTAGTTTAAATGATAAGATATATATATATATATATATATATTTCGAGGGTTGAGATTTCGAATTCCATTAATTAGGATCGTGTTGTTGGTATGGGTAGTGTTAGTTTTAACTTTTGACAAAAATAAAAAATAAAAATGATTAAAATTTCAACTTAATCACTGGAATAAGAGAAAAAAATAAATATATTAGGTGATTATGTTTTTAGTCGATTTAAATAGTCTACTTATATAACATTACTTATTTGTATGTCTTGCATAATGTTTTCTTATTATGATTTTTTTTCAATTTGTTTATAAGTCTATTTTTTTATTTTTATAAAGAGTTTTGTGGTCTAGTGATAATTCTTCTATCTCTTAAAAAAAAATAGTAAGGGTTGGAGACCTCAAAAGGACAAAGTGGGTGTGTAAATTTTTTTTTGTCAATGATTAAAATAAATAAATAAATCATTAATAAATAACGCACACACATTCACATACTCATATATATTGAATAATATTAACATTTCAATTTTGTACACACGCATCACACATTATTTTTATTATATATATGAAGTGACAAAATAACTCCATGTACATGGTACACCCCCTCATAATATCCTAAAAAGTATTTCACACCCACTTTATTGTTACGTTGATGAATATAAATCATAATCTTTTCTACTAAATATTCTTAGCTACATTAACACTATCATTGTGTGTGCTGTGATATGGGTTTTGGGCCTAGCATTCAACTGTCTCTGTTCAAACTGTGGGCCCAATAGAAATATAACAAACACACAGCCCATTCATTGAAAATAGGGTAAAGTGCAAAAAAACCCCTGAACTTTGGGAAAATTTGCAACTAACCCCCTGAACTATCAAAATTGCAGAAAATCCCCTGAACTATGAAAAAAATTGCAGATCACCTCATCCGGCCAACATCCGGTGAGAATTGGCCGTTAAAATCTATTGAAATATTTTAAAAGACCATATTGCCCTTAGAAGCATGAAAGGACAAGAATACCCTTAATTAACAACAAAGTCAAACACGGCTTTTAACTAAATTTCTCGTTGTGCTACCGACGAACCCAGAAACGGCGCTGGCGAGGACAGAGGACGGTGGCACAAGGATTTACCGATGAGCAAGCTAGCTGGGTGTGGCCGACGATGGCAGCGAGCTTGACGAAATGACTCCAGTAAGCACAGTGGAGAGGACGGTATGAATGAGCCACCAAAAATGGATCGACGACCACAGTGACGGCGAGAATGTCAGCGAGATCGTGAGGATGCCCAATAAGGCAGTAAAGAGGGCTTACGGTGAGCTCGAAACAGCGGGGAAGCAAAGATTCAACGGTGAGCATATGCGACTTGGAATGAACCTCACCGGCGACGAACAAAAAGGTTGGCAGCGCTGTAACTGAACTTACCGGCCAAACAAATATTCCGGCAAGACCAACTGAGGTTAGGGTTTGGAGATGTCGCTTGGCTATGACGAGTTTGGGCTGTGGAGAAATCGACGAGACCCACTTAGGTTAGGGTTTGGAGATGTCGCTTGGCTGTGACGAGTTTGGCTGTGGAGGAATCGGCGAGACCCATTGAGGTTAGGGTTTGGAGAGGTCGGCGGATGAGGCGAAGCTTGACGGTGAGGTTGCGGCGGTGCTCAAAACACGGACGGCGGTGTGCTCGGCCGGTGGAGACGGTTGATTCCAGTGATGGGCTGTTATGAAGAAGCTCGGCCATCATTTTCCCAAACCCATTTCACCAATTTCACCAATTTCGTCAATTTCTATGCCTTATCTGGTTTAGCCTTCCTCTGCTTCGCAACACCACCACCACCGTAAGCAAGACCTAGATTGATTATGCACTTGATTATCTTGCTGATTAGGTCTATGAGTCATGTGGGTCTTTGAGTCAGGTTGGTTCGCCGGCAATGTCGCGAAGAGAGCTCACCGGAGCTAGATTAGACACCAAATTTGAGGAAGCCAAAGCACAATTAGAAGCCATTACATATTAATTATATATTATTATAAAATACATAAATATCAGCTATTATTGGTTGGTTTGATATTATAAGAATATTAGAAGGGTAGTTTCGTCTTTTTCCTTTCCGGTGGCCTGAGTGGGTAAATTATAACAAATTAAAAGTTTATGAGAGTTTCTTACAGTTCTGGGGATTAATTGCAAAAACTCCATAGCTCGAGGCGGTTTTTTGCACTTTACCCTTGAAAATATAATACTAACAAAATGATATATTTCTGTCAGCCACCGTTAGCCATCACTGGGTAGAAACTTTTCCTTGTCATTCAACAACCAGACCTAATGTTTAGAAACCCTTCTCAGCCTTCAAAGAAGGTATCTTATCTCTCTCTGTTCATGGTTTATTTATTTATTATTATTATTATTATTTTCTGTTTCTGATTTGCAATATTTTCTCAACTGTACAACAGGAGCAGAAACAAGGAAGAGAATTGTTTGCAGTGAGCTTCAAGCCAGAGAACTTCATTCCAGGTCTCATAATTGGTTTCATTTTTGGGTTGTTCCTCGATTTATCGAAACCCGCCAAAAATACTACAAAGAGGAACAACACTCGCATACTGGGCAAGCCTCACCAGGAACAAAGGGCGGTCTCAAATGACAATGATGAAGAGCTTAAAATGGTCTAGTTCTTATTTACTCCGCTTTCTTTTTTTTTTTGCCCCTTGAAAAGTCCGATTCTTTTTTTCTATATTAATGTGATATTAGAATGTTTTTTTTTTTATCAATGATTTGATTTAGAATACGAAATTGTTATGTGGGTTTTTTTTTTTTTATTTTTTATTTTTTATTGTTGTACGCAGTAAAATTAGGGGTTTGTTAGGAGAATTTGCTTAATTTGACATCCATTTTTTCATGGTGTGGCCTGTGGAGAAAATGGGTGCTATCAATTCATAGGTTAGATATCAGAAATTGGATACAAAATATAGTGGAGTATCTTTAATTGTTATGGGTAAATCCAAAAATTAAATTTCCCCTTGTTGTTGCAATAGTGGGCCTCATGGGATTTTGAAATTAGTCTTATTTATTTATAAAAAAAACCCTCAAATAATCATGATGTATGTGAACTAAAATTATATGATGAATACTCCCTCCCCCCCCCCCCCCCCCCCCAAATTTATTTTATTTTATTTTTTCTTTTTGCTTTTGAGCAAGGGAATTCAATTGAAGTTTTTTTCTTTTTCTTTTTTCCATTGATTCTAAATAGTTGTCAGTTGTAATTATCGCATACAAATTTGACAATGGAGCGTAAGCTTTCCAAACACCTGTGTTACATCAATGCATCACATGGGGTAGAGGTGTAGCTGGTTTCACTTTGATTGTGAAAACCACTTACTTTTCTGTTTTTTCTGTTTTATTGGCAGGTTTTGATAGTTAGGCAAGACCTCAAGATGGGTACAGGAAAGATTGCATCTCAATGTGCTCGTAAGATACCTTAAACTTTTTATTGATATCATAGCTTTGTCTTTCATTGCACTTTTATTACTCTTGTAACTAATTATTGGTTCCTTTGTTTATTACTTGATTAAAGATTTCTATTTTAAACTTGCAGATGCTGCCACCGGCATGTACGCTGAAATGATGCTGCTGCAAAGGTATATATGAGTGACTTCCTATACTATTGCTAGATATGTGTTACATTTGTTAGTCATGTCCCTGAATTTTTTTCCTAATCCCCTTTTCTTGCTTGTTTTGATAATATTTGTTAAAGTAGATAAATACAAAATAGTTCACATGTTTAAACAAGTACGGAGTATATAATATTTCTGGAAGGAGCTCATTATTTTATTTCTTGGTGTACTTTACGTAAGCTGGGATTCTTTAATCTTCACATTTTTGTTTTGCCATTTATGCACCTTCATCATCTTGGAGAGTAGGTAGCTTCAGAAAGAACACTGAGAGTTCCATCTAATCATGATTCCTATAATTTATTAAGTTCTGATTACATAATTCACTTAAAAATGTGTCCTTTGACATGTCTTGATAGCCTGGATTTTTCTCCTTTAGAGACAATTAATGAGCTTCCAAATAGCTTTTATATATTCTAGTCTTAAGCCAAACAACAATAAGTGCATATATCATTGCAATATACTCTGAAGTAAGTAGTAGCGTGTCCAGATAGCTGCTTAGACGCTTATTTTTTATCATCTACATCGTTACTATTGTTACAATGAGTCTAATATTTCAGTGACAGTATAAGTTGTATATTTTGCAGCCAGCGGTCCATTTTGAGACAATGGGAGCTATGTGGGCAACCCAAAATAGTCGTCACATGCAAGAACCAGCAAGAAATGTAAGCAGGTGATTTCAGTGTGAGTTATTTCTCACTTAATTTTGCTACAATAAGCATCTTCTATATTTCAGAAGTGTCCATTTGTTTATTGATGCACGTGTTTCACTCTTGGCACTATATCAGGAATAGGCTGAAGGAAACAGCTGAGGGCGTTGGCCTTCCGACTTTTGTTGTTGCTGATGCGGGACGCACTCAGGTATACATTTTGTAATGTATGGAATTGATAAGGTCATCTTGAAGTAGATAATATCTTAGTGTGTCCGGAGTCTAGACAACATGAAGTGTTTTTGCCTAGCAGTTCTAGTTTGAGGGAAAGCTTGGTTTGCAGAAGTGATAATATTAAAAATAATGCCTATAATGTCAAAATTCTAACCATTCAAGATCAAAGATTACTTAAGTGATATGGACATATACAATGTAGACCTTTTGATGCACTGGTAAGAAAAGAAATATTACTTTGCATTGAAGGTAACAAATAAAGAGACCGACCCAAACTAACATGAGATGAAGTAATTATATATGATTTTATAAAAATAAATATTATAGGATACATGACTTGTAAATTGTAGTACAAAATGGAATACGAGAAGTCACGTGTCCAACTCCATTCATATGGGATAAGGGTAAAGGATGATGATGATTATAATGTCAAAACTCATGAGAAGAGAGGCACAAGGCTGCCATCTTGTCCAAAATTTGTAGCCATACGACTGGATTTGCCAAGTATTTGATACCAGAAAGCAAGTCTTAAACAAATCCAACCCTCAATATAATAGCCGAAAATATGTAATAACAGTATCAGATAAATATTTTGATAGATCATGTATGCCTATATCTATAAATTTGTTTTATTAGATAAGAGGGATAATATTTTAGCTTTGAAATTTAAATAAACATTGAAAATATCTTTAACCACCCTACTGTCTTGTCTCTCCGCGTTATAATGGTTAAAATATTTGTCTATACATATACGATCACGTTCACACGACTTCCTAAAAAACTGAACTTAGTATCACACAACTGATTATTTACACTACGGTATGACTCATGGACGTTGGGTTGGAAACTCTTTGTTGAAATAAAAAAAACACAGTTGACAAAAAGAGAAGGAACGTTTGAAAAGTGAGAACTAAGACCAGAAAACATTCGATTCATAAAACAAATCCAAACAAGTTGAATTTACCTTACACTTATATTCATGATTGTAACTCATCTAATCTGATTTTAAATTAGTATAAGCAATTTGCATATGATAATTATAGTTATTTTAATTTTTCGTGGTTATATATCTATATGTGTGAAGCCTATTGAACTTGTACATGGTTATATGTTTGAATATTGATTGCTACTGAATATCTTCAACTCTTGTTCTCAAAATTGTTGGGCTCTATTGTTATCAACATGAAGTTGGTTGTGTGACGTGTGTGTGTCTATTTATTTATGCATACATGATTTAGGAATGACGATAAAGGTGTACTGTTGATTCTGGCTTATAATGTTAAAATCCATGTTATGTAGAATGATATTAGAATTGGATCTTCACCTTTATAAGTATATTTACATTTGTAAATGTGAATTGATTCAAACCCTAATTAAAGGATTATAAAGACTTGTAACAGTGAAAAAAATCAAAGAAAATTTTGAGTATTAGGATCGGAATGAGAAGTTTAGTGATGATTCTTAGTTTAAAATTTGAATTTGGATTTGATTGGGTGTTGAAATTGGGAAAGAAAGCTCGAATTAGGTTGGCAATGGTGGAATAGGGTTTTTGATCATGAAAGGTGAAGAAGAAGACTCATTTTTGGTCTGGCTGCACATACCCATTCTCGCCGTCGGTGTGTGAGAACAATGCGGCGTCATGGGGCAGCGGCTTGGCCGTCGGAAAGGACCACTAGTTTATCCCAACCCGTTGGCCCCACCCTGGGGTCCTATCGATTACAAATATATTATTAATTAATTTGTTATTGATAAAAAATTAGGAGAAATTAGAGAAAAATATTAAAAAGCTTCAAAACTTTACCGAATCTCTGAAAAATCATAATATAATAATGAACCAAAATGTGGTAAGATTTTCGAATTTAGAAGAGCATTGTGTTTTAATTTGGTAAAAACCCGAAAAAGTTAATTCTTTAATACGCATAATTGGAGATTACAAATTAACAGTGAAGATTTATGTTGTGAAATTTTACCAGGATCTTGATTTGATGTTAACAAAGCTTTCTAAATATCGTACTCTCACAGGTTTGAATTTATGGGTCTTGAACTTCCTTTTTGGCAGTGGACTACCCTTCATTGATGATTCTGATATGACCATTTGGGTTGAGCATGTTCTTTTGATGTGGACGTGGTTTGGGACCATTTGGGTGACGAGATGTACGAACCGAGCCACGTGTTTTTGGTTGTCCGCGATTTTGCGATGCACGCTTTTTTAGAGTATAGGAGTATTTGATATTTTACTTGTGGCTTTGAGAGTAATCCTCTTTGATTTTTTTTTTTCCCCGGTAAATAAACCAATAATCCGCTTTGATTTATTGGAGTTCGGGGCTCATGATTAATACATCGAAATTTAATAAATGTTAATCAAGTTTATTAACTAACAAATGTGTTGAGATCAAGTTAATGTAACTTGTGTGGAATTGGTATCAGTTATTATAATTAATAAGATATTAAATTACATATTTGTATATGGTTAATCAATGAGAACTTAATTAGGTGATGCTGAGATGAGCATAAAATTGCTAATGTGAATTGTTTTTATGTATAAAAATATAATGTTAGGGAAAGTTGTTGAGCAGTGATTGCGTTGAGCAGCACTATTCTTAATAAGCTTGTGAGCTTACCCTTTACCAATCTCTTTTAGGTACTCGTTGGTTGAGCACATGTTAACGGAGACACATGATAGAGAGGAATTTAATTAGTTTATTTATTTATTTATTTTAGTTATTTCAGTTATATCTAGCATAAGTGACTCATGAAGTAAGAATTACATGTAACTAGTGTTGAATTTTACTAGTTGGGATTGCTTTTATTGTGACTGTTTATGGATTAATGACGTTATTGGTTGGCAATGTGGTTTTATTAATATCGTTGTGGATGGTTGTGGATTTTGGATTTAAGACATGCACTGAATTTAAGTATGGAACTAGATTCTTCTGCATTTAAATTTGTGGGTGTGTCACTCACAATTAGAGTTTTTCTTCTAATTGGTTATCATTAAAATTTTTTTTACATCTTTTAACATCACTTTTATTGAATAGAACCCCAACAATCATATATTGGTGAACTTTGAAGTACCACTCGGGCTCCATTGCTGGTGGTTCTCGCAATCATTGTTGGAACCAATTAATATGGAAAATGAAAATAAAGTAGATCTAAAATTAGCTTATTTATAGAATCCATATAATATATATATCCATATAAGTCATTTTTCGAAAGCGTAGACGCCCATGTGTACACAAGGCCATATCGGGTATTACGTAATTGAATCGGTTATCGCGGTTGTGAAATTTATCAACCTTGGACGCTATTTGATGTGCTGACTCGACTAATTCCTTAGGGATTCGGAGGAGACTTGGTCGAGTTTCATGTGAGTCCATTACGACTCGATATGGAGAACTATGATATAAGTGACTTCAGTAATGGCTAGTTGGCTACAAATGTAGATTATTCTTTGTTTTAGTGGTAAAAGTGCATGTCCAAGTTTGAGAACGTGAGTTAAAGTCTGAGAATAGCCATTTTGTGTAATGCCAGAAGTCAGGAGTGTATCCAGTGCAGCCCTCTTAAGATTCCACACTATTGATAACGACTCTTTCTAATACCCTTTTAGATGGCATACAAGAAAATTATTTTGTATTCAGCTGCATCAGAAAAATAAATTTATGTCATCTCCATTTGGCAATTGAAAGTGAAGCGTGCAACAAGCATCTAGTATTCTGGTTCACAATTTGCATTTAAGGGATTGTTTCTACCTTGAGATTCTGCTTTCTAATTTTCCATTATGAATTCTGCTTTCTAATTTTCCATTATGAATTCTGCAATCACATTTACACAACTTTTTTGGTTCCATTCAGGTTTTGTCTGGGTCAAAGACAGTTCTTGCGATTGGACCTGGTATGCTTCTTTTCAATCCAACTTCACTATATTATTGTGGGCAAATTGCCAAAACAAAGAAATAATAATAAAAAAATCCCTCAACTTCCAAACTCCCATTGGTGCCTCCCTGAGGACAGAAAGCCTCTTGTGGTCTTATTGGCTCTTGAGCAGTTGGGTAGTCCCCCTTAGTATTGTTGGCAGTTTGTTAAACTAACTACCATTTCTCATATGGTTTTTGAATCCAAATCGCCAGCCTTTTCAGTGTTTATAGCTTCGCAGAGTGACATTTAACATCAAATGCCTTCTGATTTGCAGTTTTTCCTATTGCTATTATTGAGCAGGGAATAAGGCGATAGTGGATTCAATAACCGGGAAACTGCGCTTACTCTGAAGGTGTCGAGTATGGTAGACCTGTGTGACTAAATTTTCGAAGCATGCTGTAATTTTGTCACTTCTTATGGGAGAGACTTCATTCCTTGAACATGTGTAATGGACTAGAGTCAAAGAACTTGTTTGACATCTTCCAAGATACTACACCAGTTTGTCAGGTAACTAGTTAGCATCTCCCTTTTTTTTTTTCTTTCCCCGTAGAACAGGAGGAATATGAAAGGCGTACTTTAAAGTCGTATTTGAAGAAAATATTTTAATCCATGTTTCTTTCTCATCTCTGGAATAAATCATCAGCAACTGCAATTGGAAACTTGCTCTTCCTAGTGTTTTATGGTTTTGGGTCACTATACTTCCGCTGATCAACAGGACATGAAGATAAACTTTTCTATAGGGTACAATGAGACACAGCATAAATTAGGCAATTCAACAAAATTTCAGTAAATCAGTACAATCAATCAGATTGCTCCCATACTGAGTCACTCCTTGTCAACAATATGGTTCACTATCTTTCTGGGAGTCCACATCACTATTGCACAATATCAACTTTTGTCAAATGAATCTCATAAGTAGGATATTTGACATAATTATTATTTGACGCCTCTGTCACACGAATTTCATAGTTTGGGTCCCTGTAATAGGTACCCCTAGAGGCATTCCTTCTATCTTGTTCTTCTTTTAGGATCTTTTCATATCTTGTAGCTCTAGAGGCTAGTTGAAACAAGTCCCAAAATTGCATTCTCTCAAATTTCCTTCGTAATTCAAAGTCTAAACCATTTAAGGTTAGACTCACATATTCAGTTTATGGAAGGGCTACTTGACATTTGTGTTTCGCCCTTTTAAACCTATCAATAAAGGCTTCAGCTGTCTCTCCAGGCATTTGGTACAGCCTAGATATGTCAGCCATCGATACTTTTGGTTTAGTCCTATAAAATTGGGTATGAAACATTTCTTCTAATTGTTGCCAAGTATAGACCGAATTTGCCGGTAAACTTATATACCAAGAAAATGCGGTTCCTTTAATCAATTAACAAATAGCCTTAATTTTTTAAATTCATTTGTTCCAGCCTCACCACATTGAATGGTAAACCGACTAATATGTTCTATGGTCGAAGTGGAGTCTTCTCCCGAAAAGGTAACGAAATCGGGAACTTTATAGCCTTTTGGAAACGCATATCGGTCTATATAACCCGGATATGGCTTCCTATATGTAAGGCGACCAACTCTTCCATGGGATGGTTCATAAGTTTCTTGAATTAAATTAGCCAATTGATCTCTATCAACCATAAGGGGTTGATGGTTTGGCTGTTGTGCTTGAGGCTGATGCATATAAGGTGCCTGAGGCTGATGCACGTACGACATCTGAGGCTAAGGCACATACGACGCCTGAGGCTGAGGCGTTGGAAAATTAAAACCAGCATTAACATTATCTCGCCCCTCTTGGGTTTAACATGCCTGCGGTTGGTGTTGATAAATCGTATTAAGTGGTGGCCAATTCACATTCTGATTGGCCCATCCGATTAGTTGGTACTTAGCTGGCGTCTGATGTTGCGACTGATTAGTCTACAATTGATTAGCATGGGGTTGATATTGTCCATGCAACGGCTGCAGAAGGAATTAAAACCCTTGCCGCTGTTGTTGGTAGTAATTCTGTTGAACCCCAACAGGCGCTGGAACTTCTTGTTGTGCATTCAACAAAGTATCTGTAGTATTTGACCGTGTCATAAGGTGTTGATCAAACCTTGTTGCTAGAACGGTTAAAGAGTTACTTAAATTAGCCAATGTGTTATGGATTGGCTCTAGTGCTCCATGAAAGGTACGGCTGGAAATTTCCATCTGTTGCACTAAATTGTTAATATTCTCAACCAACATCTGATTATTTGGCTGTTGATTGATTTCGATTTCAGCCTCTTATTCCTAATGTTGAGGCTGTTTCTCAGGCAAATTTTGCGATTGATATCGAGTAAATGGCATAGATATAGGTTGAATTTAGACACTTCCAGGGTCTCACCGGGCGTGCCAAATTGTTTGGCTCTTTTTTTTAGGGGCATGCCAGAGTTTTTCAACCCAAGAGGTTGGATAGTTAAACTATTTTTGGTGCTGACCGAATATGAAATCGGCCCTTAGTGAATTAGGCGGCTGCTGGAAGGCAAGGATGACCCTTCCTTCAGGTTCTTCAACGCCTCAATAAAGAGGACTTTCGACAGTAAGGGCTAGAACTTGAAGAAGGGAACAACAAAAATTGTTTAAACGTTCTTCAATTCTAGATTTTGGAATAAACGGAGGAGACAAAACAAATTGTCCAAGCGTCCATCTAATCCAAGAACAACTTATAAAAAGAAAATGGAGGAGATACGAGATCCAAACGTCCACTTTATTTAATAAGAAGTAGTCTTATACAAAAGTACAAGAATAAGAGTTCTATTCTAACACTATTCCTATGGAAAAAGAGAAGTACAAATAAAATTACATTGTAAGAAAATACAGTAAGAACAGAAATTGCAGAAAATAGGAAATCTGTTGTGGTCGGGGACCATTTGCACAAGGCCTATGGTGCTATTTATAGATGTATGGAGCAGCCGTTATTTTCAGTAATCGACAGTTTCCTTTTCAAATTCAAATAATATATTTGAATTAACAAAAAAACTTCTTTTGTCTCAATCTTATCCACCTTTTGTCTTTTGTCTTTTGTCTTAAACTTATCTAAATGAATCGTACTTGTTGAATAAAACTGACCTTGACAATTTATTGACTTAAGACTCCAATTTTATATAAGAGTCTTTTAAGAAAACAATATTAAATTATTATCACAAAAAGGACACCTCTCTTCTTCAATCAACTAATGACATGTGGCTTAATTAATATCTTTTCCTCCAATCAACCAACACCATGTGTCTAAATTGAAAATTAAATTTAGAGTGCAACCAAATTATCCACAAAACACTATTGTTGTTAAGTATGTGTGCATATAACTCTTTATTATTTGTTCAACTCGGATATGAGATCTCACATAGACAAGCATAGAGCCTGTGATGGGTGGACACTTGGGGTTTGTGTTGGAATTTGATCACAAAAATGACAATATATCTCATATAATAGAGCTAATCACCTAAATATAAATAGGTGATAAATAAAAATATTCCAAAAATATAAATAAAAATATTTAATATAATTTCAAATTAAGGCTTAAAGGCTCGTAATTGTTTTTTGAAGATAGTTGAAATCTCTCCTAAATGCAATTGGAATATTAAATTGGCAGCATTATCGGAATTCAGACGGGAAGGTTAGAACCTTCGTCGGAGTCTTCCTGGAACTTCATCGAAATTTCATTGAAATATCTGCCGGTACCTCACCGGAATCTAGATTTGTTGGCCGAAAACTTCATTGGACATTGATCGGAACCCGAACTTGTCGCCGGAATCCTCATCAGTATTTCACCGAATTTCTCCTTTTCTTAGACTTTTTCTTAAGTCTGTTACTTCTCACATCTGTAATAGGCTCACTCCAAGCCCTTTTATAGTGTTTTGAATTGAGGTGTGTTTAAATATGGCCATTAATCTAACTCAGCATGTTTCAATAAATGCGTTCTTTACACCATTTTTGTTTTGTTCGACTAGATCTGTTCATGTTGGGTTCGTTTTCGGATCACATGGGTGGATCTGTTGTTTTTTCCGACTAGATCTCCGGTCTAGGTCGGTTTTGGTTTTCTCTTGTCTAGATTTAATCTTTTTCTCCTTGATTTGCTCTTGTGCGGGGTTTCTTGGGTGTTAGAGCGCCTTGTGGCTGTAACTTTGGAGTTGTTGCCTTGATGATAGCCTGACCTTTGGGTTACTCCAGTTTGCTACATTTCTCCCATGGTGGTTTCGTTGCAAAGTGTTAGGCTCTGTTTTCTCTACAGATCTGGAGTCTGTTCTTCATTTTATTGCTTAGCTTCATAATTTGTATGCCTTTTCTGGCTTGGCTTTTTGCTTCTGTATTGCCATCGGCCTTTGTGCCTTTGAAATCATATGTTATCATTTTCATGCTAAAAAAAAAAAAAAAAGAAAAAATTCTAAGATCAACCATTTTTCCACGTTTGACGGTCAAGATAGCTTCATCTGCCAGTACCAATGATGGACGGCCTAGATCGCTTTGATCTTGTAACCTCTTGGATCCAAAGACCAAAATGGAAATTCCTAGTCACCATCTACCAACTAAATAACTTGTTAATTGTGTTATAAAATAAGAAATAAATATATTTAAATGATATTTTTAAAAATAATTATATATTTTAAAAGACATTCCAAAAGTTTTTAGAGGAAATAAGCGACCAATTAGTATATCAAGTTACGACATCAAGTGAGGGTTCATCAAAAGTTGGATATAGGGACGAATTGGGAGCGAGTTATTCATTGAATCCAAATGGATTTGGTTTTTTCACTAGGTGCTCTGTTCTGTTTTTAAAAATCAAAATAAAACAGAGAATGCAAGTAATATGAGAACCCAATTTCATACACTTTTTTCGATTAAAAAAAACACATTTATGGCAAACTATTGACACAAGGTACATATATGGGCAAAAGTAATTTGGTTCTTTTTTCTTTCGTTTGTATTTAGAGAGATGAAAATTTAGGGAGAAAAAAAGATGACTCATTCATCTTCTTCTTCTTCTTCTTCCTTCCTTTTTTTTTTTTTTTTTTTTTTTTGACTCATCTCTACCAAACTAATGAAATATTTCTTTATCTTTCATAAAACCCTACTTGGTTAAATTGAAACGATGGAAAGGAAAATAAAAATTTTATCGTGTATTTAATTAGTATAAATTTTTTTATATATAAAAAAAATTATTAAAAACTATATATATATTTAAAATCATAACAAGAAATACAATCACACACCCCACTTATCCAAGACTATAATGGTTGGTACCATTTTATGGTTTGAATATCATAAAACTTTCTTTTTCGATAAATAAATGTCATAAAATTTACTATAAATGAAAGAACATTACTCTAAATTCATAAAACTTTCAAAAAAAAAAAAAATTTTTTTAAGTTTTCATGTGTTTTTTCTAAGAAAATTTTATAAAAAAAGTTGGGTGATAATTTTCATTTATTTTCTTTTCTCATTATTTTTCATCCAACAATCCGGAACCTGTTTTAAAGATATCATACTTCTATTAACCGGAGTAAATATATTATATATACAATATCTTTTTTTTAAAAAAGTGACTAATATTCATGTTTGTACCAATTTAAAAAATAAACGGTTTTAATTAAACGTAAGAGAATTATTTGGAAACTTTATTAAAAGATAGGTTAATTTGATGGAGAA